ATGTAGAGAGATTGGGTAACATAAAAGACCAAGTCAGTCACTGGATGGAGCAGACCTCTCAGAACCAGAACCAGCTAAAAAGCAAACCCAGGCCTCAGTGGAACTGTGCACACCAACAAATAACAGCTACCTCCTAAGCAGAGGAGGAATAGCAATTGCTGGCCAATGCTGGTCTCCTTCAGCTGAATATAAATCTGTGTATCCCTCCAACAGCTCTGGCAGATTGGCTTGGTTTCCTCCCTCCTCCACTGCCTGCCTTCTGGAGCTCAGGGTGGCACAGTAGGGTTTGCTCCTGGGAAACCCTAGGGAGCCTGGAGATAGTGGAAGGCAGATGGCAGCATCACAGTCGGCACCCCATGGGCAGCGTGGTTGGTGTTCAGCAGAGGCACGTCCCTGCATCCAGCTCCAAGGATGTACCTTGAATCCTCTGCAGAGGCTGGGCACTCGGGAACCTCAGCACACAGGAAAAGAGCACAGGCACTCTCAAACCTAGGATAAAACTGATTCAGAGCAGGTTTTCAGCATATTTTGACTGGGTTTTGTGCCCATTTGCTCCTGCATTCATTTTACCAGCCTCTATGCTAGCCTAGGGTACAGGGGCATGCCATTAGAAGCTCTTTGGAGGCTGAACTGCCAAAAATAGTGCAAACAAACAATCAAATTAAAAAAAAAACATGGCAAAACATAACAGCATGCATGCATTCATTCATTCATTCAGAGCTGATGCAAAAGCTACTTAGCAAATCTCGGAAAAAAAACATTTTTGAAAGCCAAGTGCAGTCTCCTGACTTGCTTGTTCTGGCCAAATTGCTTGCATTCCCTGTTTATCTCTGAGCAGAGAAGGGAAAAGACACCAACAGCAAAGCCACCATGTTCAGCTTTTTTGACAATTCAGAAGTGTTCACACCACCCACACTGTGTGTGTGTGAGTGTAAGAGAGCAATGTAAACAGCAACAGGGAAACTGCAAGCAGTAAACACCAAGTTACCTCTTGCTCGAGTCCCCTTGGCTCAGTGCTGACCCAAGTGCCTTTTTTTCTGCAACACTTAGCAGAATAACCTAAAGCAGCCTGATTCTTATGCCACAAATGTAAAAATAATGAAGCACAGGACTTCAAGTTCAAAGAAGCGATAAATGCTCCATCCCTGGCAGTGTTCAAGGTCAGGTTGAACAGAGCCTTGGGTGACATGGTCGAGTGTGAGGTGTCCCTGCTTATGGCAGGGGTTTGGAACTAGATGATCTTAAGGTCCTTTCCAACCATAAATATTCTGTGATGCTGTGATTCCATAAATGCTCAGGGCTGGCTGAACTCCCACCTGTAAATGCTACAGATTAGTTATATTTATTTCCTTCATGAGGAAAGAAAAAAAAAATTAAATACAATCCATCTGAGCTGGAAATAGGCTTCCGTTCACCTCTTGTACAGGCTGGGATCTTGGAAAGAGCAGCTGAAAGTAGATACAGCATGTACGGTAGAGCTGCACCAGGCTGGGGCAGCACCAGAAGCAAAGCAAGGTTATTGTGGCACAGGAAAGCCTTCTCCAGTGTCAAGAGAGGCAGCCAGGAAAGCTTCCCAAACCTCATCCACTTTACAGTCTTAATTCCTTAGGCTGCAAAACGTTTGGTGCTGGTTTGATATATATTCTTTCAGTTCAACATGTGTACGGATAATGTGCAATTCAAAACAGAAAAGGGAAAAACAAAAATCACATGATCCTTAATAGACAAATTAAACCTGCATATCTGCAGACGACTGAGAGTCTTATTTTAGTAACAGCTGAATCACATAAGAAAACAGTCACAGTTATGCACCGGCAGACCACATACCTAGTTGCTTCCCAGAAGCAAGGAGGATCCTTTTAACTCGAAATACTGAGAATACGCAAGAGACTCACATGGTAAAACCTAAACCTGAGCTGCTAAAGATGTGCAATAAATGTGACTTTTCATGATCTCTTCTACCACCAGTGGACAACCTGGGGCTTCTGAGGCTGTTCTCAAGTCCCAGGCACAAGAATCTGCCTTTACGCCCACCACATTTCAAGGCTCAGAACTGGCTTGGTAATCCCCAGGCAGCGACTCCATGGCTCTCAGCACACATGGAGCAAGTAACTCATAACACTGATTGGGATAACTTTTAAGTCTGGTACTTTTTACCTATGACAATAAAGAAAATTAAGTTGAATTATTTTACAGAAAATATAAATTCAGCCTCAGCTTCTGCTGTGCCCCTTACGAATTGCATGCCTTACCTGTGTGTTCATCACTTCTTACAGCTCCTGAAACTTTTTAGACCGTCCAGTGACATGACAAACTTGAAAAAGTACATCTGTTATTGCTGGAGGAACTGAACAAACACCATCACACCACCCCACCCCCCTCAATAAAAGAGCCAATACAAAGATACGAGACAAAGAAGCTCCTTGCTTCCTAAAAGTGAATACTGGGTCACTGTACAGGTTTTACTGAAACTGCCCTCCTTCTGTGAAGTTATGTCTGAGTCCAATTAGCACAGGAAGGGCACATGTTCTGAGTCTTCCAGGTTAAGGCAGGTAAAAGAGAAAGTCACATTAACAATCTTCCTGATCATCAGAACACAGTACCTGGTATACGCGGTTATCGCTCTGTTTCTGTCCAATGCATTGATTTGATCCAATTAACAAGAAACTGCTATGGACTGTTCCGGATAAAAGCACTGCCAAAACACTCAGTGAAAAGCTGTAATGATTCCTCACGTCAGACAGCAAGCACGAGAGCATAACCCTGTCTGAACAGTCTGGAAGAGCAAAGAGAGCCCCCAGATCCATGTCCTGCCTGAGGGATCCTGCACAGCAACCTACACAGCAGCTCACCAGACCAGAGCAGAGCTCAAGTCAAGTCAGTGCTGGGTCCTCTGCAAGCAGGCCTAACCATTGTATGATTCTATGACCTGCCCCTTCCCATTTCCCACAGCCCAGGGACACAAGCATTGCACACACTTGCCCACATAGCAGACAGCAGAGCAGCAGAGACACATTCTCTGTGGCTCTAGTTAATGGTGAATACTTACTGGAATTGAGAACTGCTGGTCAAAAGCCTGCACTTTAGCCAGGCTCTTACCAGCAAAACAATGACGCGCTGCTTGGGAAAGGTTGATGAGAGTGGATGTTGTAAATGAAGCTTACAGAAAAAGAGTAGAAAACTCCTCTTGCTCCCTTCTCTGCAACATTTTAAGTTCGCACATTGTCATTCGTAACACATTACACTCTTGTTCAGAAGATTTTTTTTTCCTTACCCTTTCACCTCCAAAAATTGTTTTGGTTCCAGAACTGTTTTAATATTGACCCAGACTCCAGTGCTTAAATGCTGGACAACTCCACAACACTTTGCTTGCAATCAAAACAGTGGGTTCAGATGAGGCAAAGAGACTTTAAACCAAACAAAACCAACCGTCCACCACTATGCAGCATGATGTGTAGTATGCTTGTAGTCCAGTTAGGATTTTAAATCATTCCTAGGGAGACCTATTTTTACTACCCCAGTACAGGTTTTGAGCAAATGAGCTTGTTGCTGTGGAATTAATAGACTTATGCAGACTGATATTCCCAGGAGACAAAGTAAAAGGGAAAAATATTAAAACTGATGCTCCTGGCAAATGAAAAACTAATGGAGCATATTTTCCCGAAGGGATGGGAGGTGCTTTCATTTTATTTCATTCTGATGACTATGCAAGACCTGCCGTAATAGGTAACTCTCAGGGAGTACCATCTCCAGCTAAATGGAAACACCTTGAAAATTTCACAGAGAACACAGAGGACAGCATAAGTCACCACAAACCGAATCTGAAGAGCACTGGATGATCGCAACACTGCATCAGAATGTAGCTCTGTCTACAATTAACCTAAAAACCAAGTAAGTCTGCAACATTTCAACCCAGAGTTTCTCTATAGCTATGGCAGGAGCAGCAACGATTTGAACTGGTATCAAAGCAACTGTCAACGAGGGACACAAGGTTTTTAAAGCTAATATATATAACAACATGGCTCAGTGCAAGGTCCGCACTTGGGTCACAACAGCCCCAGGCAATGCTACAGGCTTGGGGAAGGATGGCTGGAAAGCTGCTATTTGGAAAAGGACCTGGGGGTGCCAACTGACAGAGCTGAACATGGGCCAGCTTGTGCTCAGGCACACAAGACCAACAGCATCCTGGCCTGTATGACCAATAGTGTGGCCAGCAGGGCCAGGGCAGTGATCATTCCCCTTTACTTGACAGGGGTGAGGCCACACCTGGAACACTGGGTTCAGTTCTGGGCCCCTCATTACAAGAGAAACACTGAGGTGCTGGAGCGGGTCCAGAAAAGGGCACAAAGCTGGTGAAGGGTCTGGAGTACAAGAGTGATGAGGAATGGCTGAGGGACCTAGGATTGTTTAGTCTGGAGAAGAGAAGGCTCAGGAGGACCGTATTGCTCTCTACAACTACCTGAAAGGAGGTAGTAGTGAGGTAGCGGTTGGTCTCTTCTCCCAAGTAACAAATGAAAAGAGGAAATGGTCTCAAGCTGCACCAGGGGAGGTTCAGACTGGGTTTTAGAAAATAATTCTTCACTGAAAGAGTTGTCAAGGACTGGAATAGGCTGCCTAGGGAAGTGGGTGAGTCACCGCCCCTGGAGGTATTGAAAACACGTGGCATTTGGTGTAGATGTGGCACTTCGTGACAGATGTGGTAGTGCCAGGTTAATGGCTGGATTCTATGATTTTAAATGTCTTTTCCAACCTAAACAATTCTACAGTTCCATTCTATGAAAAATATTTTACTGTCAAATTCACTCTAAGAGTTTCCATGAACTCCAGTGGAGCACATGAAAGATTTCACTGTTGGTGACATCCTTGAAGCCACTCAAGGTAACTCACATTATTTATAAATATTTACAAGTCAAACTCCTGCAGTTACCTGCATTTTTAAAACCACACAAGCTACTAGAAAATTAATTCCTAAATGATTTAAAAATCAAATAAATCAAAACTGATTTGCATTATTTAATATTTATTGATACAAAATTAAAAACAATTTGTAACAAATCACATATTTATAATTTACACTGGAGAAATACCTTCTAAGATCAATGAAACAACGTGCCCCTTAAAGCTGGGGTGTATTGCCAGTCGGATGGTAGTTACAATGTTCCTCAGAACTCATTTGCAGCAGCTGATCTTCAGTCTGCAGGCAGAGCTATGTCTCCAACATGCTGTGTGGATTTGGCCTAAATTATAAAAAGAATAGAAATTAGTTCAAATTAACACAGTTTAAAAAAGCCTATCTGACTGTGCCATGACATTAGCAGGGCTACTAGACAGTAAAGTGGAACCACTACAAATTGTACTCACAGCAGCAAGGACATTAGAGCATTCACCTACTCCAGTGGCAAATCAATAAAAATATCAGTACCATTTCAATTACACTCAAAAAAGCACATTAGTCTAATTTAATTTAAGCAACAGTGGTCTCTAACAAACACATTCCTCTGTGCAAAGGTGCTATGACTTCCCATATATGATGGATAATGGCTTGGCAGCTTCACACGCCGCTTATTCCCAGCGTGCTATATGACACAGAAAAGGACCTCCACTTGAGGCGTACAGCGTGTGGGTCCTCCCAAGACAAGCATGAACTAAACTTACAGAAGAGCAGCTTCCATAGCATGGGAATCTTCAATTTCTCAGAGTGGCTGAGGCTGGAAAGGACCTCTGGAAGTCACCTGGTCCAACACCCCCTGCACAAAGCAGGCCCACCATGAACCAGTTGCCCTGGATTCAGATAAGCTCTTTTCCCCCATATGTGAGTTTTTGCCTGATCTCTTCTGTACCTCTTCACCCATCCGCAGCAACCACGGTGGCAAGAGTGAGGATGCCAAGTGTACTTGGGAAATACACGTTCCCATCTGCAGGCAGCAAGTAGGAAGAGAGATAACAGGTTCTGAGCTCTGGGGACAGAGCTGTTCCACATAGAAGGATGTGCCCAATAAGCCTAACGAGGTCTTAGCTCTGTCTCTAGGAGAAATACATGAAGGCAATCCTGAAGAGCCACCAAGCTCTTCCAGCTTATTTAGTCCAGGTTCCTCCTTAGAAACCACAGAAACTTCAAAACCCAAGAAGATTCTCTTGGCATTTACCAGAACAGTCAGACAGCAATGGGGTGTGAGGGGGCACACATGTCCACATCCATATCTGCAGCAATGGGCACACACCACCACGCTAGACCTATGTTCCAAAACCAGCTGGTGTCAAATGGCATTCCCACTGGGCAAGAGGAATGAAGATGTACGAGCAGGTGAATGCTGGGACCAGACTGCCAATGCAAAATTGGCACATGGCATGACACCCAAATGATGGCACAGCCACAGCAAGATTGTGCCAAAGCAAAGCAAGCCACCAGCACGCTGAATTACTGCTACAAGAGGAGCTAAAAGCACAACACTACAATGCTCTGGGGTAAGTCTGGCCAGGGCAAAAGGTGCTGGGATGGATCCTTTCAGCACTGTGGAGCCAACCTCAACAGATGGACCAGACTCAAGGGCAATCATGCAGGACTGAAGCAGCCTCAGTTCTGCTTCTGCAAGCAGCAGATGACAACAGTAACAAACACCTTTCCAGTGACATCCCGAGCTGACCTTCATGGGAATAAAACTGCACAAAAGTCTTTCAAACAATGGAGGCCAAAGGAAGTTTTGCATCACTTCTCTGAATGAGAAACTGGGAGCTTTGCCAGGCCCTGTACAAAGCCTGAAGGAGAAGTAGCAAAGGAACCCTCAGGCACAAGAACACCTCCAAAATAATTCAAATACCTGGAACTGAGTTAGAAAAATGATGAAATCATTGCGACACAAAGACAAAAAAATTTATCTTCAGTAAGGGAAATGCATCCAAAGAAGGTAAAGAGATTAGTTTAGGCAGCAAGACAGAAAAGAAGGAGCAGATTGAAACTGGATACAGCACCTGAGCTGTAACAGCGGCAGGTGAATCTCATCTCGCAGCTTGCTCCAAGAGGAAGGAAGAAAAGCAAACCAAAAGGAGACAAAGTGCAACTTTGACAGATACTTCAAGACAACTGCCAACCTGCCTAGCAGGACACAGCATGCGCACATGGAATTAATTTCATGGAGGAAATTACTACCAGCACTTGTTCAAATACCTGAGGAAACCCATTCTTTGTAATTTCCAAAATAATTCTGGTTCCAGATAAGTGCGCAGCAAAAACAACCCAAAGGTGGACATTTAAGCAAATTCTTAGCTTATGCAGGCATCCAGTTAAGTAAGACACAGGTTTCGTACTTAACCAGCATCACCATTGCATGGAAATGAGCAAGGAGGGGCATGCACCTCATTTGCAACCCTCAGCATCTCACCAGAGATGACCTTTGTAAGCTGAGAAAGTCCTTCAGAAGAGAAGCTAAATTATTTTCAGTAAAAGCAGTATTACTATTATGGTTTCCCCCTTTTCCTTTTTTTCCACACAGAAATACTCCACGCAGCATGGCTGCAGGATGTAAGCAACAGAAGCCCTTTCATGACAAGGTAATAATTTCTGTGAACTTGAGTTAGCAACTGAACAAAATGAAGCTATTCTAAATTTTGTTAATTCACAGGAAACTGCCTTAAGCTGCACCAGGGGAGGTTTAGAATGGATATTAGGAAAAATGCCTTCCCCAAAATGGTAGTCAGGCATTGGAACAGACTGCCTAGTGAAGTGGCGGAATCACTGTCCCTGGAAGTGTTCAAAAACCATGCAGACTAGGCCCTCAGTGACATGGTTTAGTGGTGAACTTGGCAGTCCTGGGGTAACAGTTGGACTTGATGATCTTAAAGGTCTTTTCCAACCTGCTGGATTTTGTGAATTCACTCAATGTAGTTTGTTTGAAAGGTTAAGCAGGATGCTAAGATGGACTCTGTACCCCACAAAGTGAAGAGGCAAATAATGCAGACATTTAGAGTCGCTTTGTCTTTAAAACACAGTGGCGCTTTTTCACTAGCTAAAATACTGTTCAAGTCTGGCAGCTGTGTTCTAATACGTTGCTGCAGCGACCTCTGTGCTTTACCTATGAATTGCCATCAAAGCACAGAGTAAAGCTAAGTTGCTCACCAGGCAAATGTCTGCTTCTGCTAATATGAAGAAAATCAGCCTTAATAGGAGTCTGAGAGCATTTGCTGGATGCAAAAAAACCTCTGCAATTATCACTTAATTGTCCTTCACGGACCAATACTGAGAGTCTCATACTTTCCCGTTAAGGTTGCTCCCTCCTTCAGCACTTTTTCTTAACTGGCTACTTAATTAGTCTTCCTTCCTGGGCTTAATTGTAAATTTGTTTTGATTAATTAGCCTCAGAGCTGACTTGACACTAAGTCTAATATAGGAGAAGTGCTCAGCTTCTCCAGCATGCATGTAGGCTACTGCATCCTAGGGGAGCCCCCCCTTTGTCAGCAATAAAATTTCAAGTTCAGATTGTGTTTGAAAAAAACCCATCATCATTAACTTTCATTTCTTGTAATTGCCCCTTCTGTGCTACAACACAAAAGTGATATTAACATAAAGAAAGGATAAAACCCAGGAAGTTCAGGACTCTTGTTCAGTTGATTATACATCATGTTCATTAGCTGAATCCTGCAGTTCTAGATAAGATGACATAATGCTCCTAAACACAAGTGATCATAGCACAACTAGAATCCCCAATCACAAGTGCAGCACAGACAGCCGTATTCTCATGGTATCAACATCAGAGGGGTTTCCCTTACTGATTGGAGAAGTCTATGTTCTGCTTTTCCAAGTTACTGAATTCTATTGAAAATCCTTTCCAGAACCTAGACAAGCCAGTCTGCAGCACCCTTAGACACTACTATTGCCCTTCATTATGTTTACACCTGCCATCTCAGTCCTTTCCTCACCATCTTTCCTTTCATCTCCATCTTTACAGTACCTTGATTCCAGAAGACGCCTGCACACAGCACTGCCATGCAGCTGCCATCTTGATCAATTCTAATTTCAGCCACTGTTGCCTTTTCCTGTGTTTTCAGTAACTTCAAACACCATGACCATGAAAAATAGTAAACTAAACAGAATAATGTGAGTTAAGATCCACTGCACCCATTCAATAAACTTCCTAAATAATCATCAACAGCACTGCAATCCTTCAATTTTCAAATTTAAAAGTCCTTCCCTATCAAGCTGGAAAGAGAAATTAAAAACCTTACCCTGGACATTAATATGCTTTTCTGTAAACACTTTAAGATTTGCATCTCAACTGAACAGTCAGACTGAGAAAGTAAATATTTTGTTTCTTTCAGCTTCTTGTTTCAATTATTGCCCCTCTGGTACTCCAATCATGAAAAAAACTGCAAAGAAGTGCAAAGTAAAGGTGGTTTTACTATCTTTTGCGTGCGCCTTTACTTTGGCACAGGAGTTTAAATTAAGCACATCAAACCAGGAGCTTTGTGGATGAGCTGAAGAATGCAGAGCAGTTCTGCATGCATGCTTTTTAGTGTATTCATTCCTTAATAATCTTGCAGCCAACTGGTTTGACTGATGATCAACTACTGTTTTCATCTTAACACTGGACCATAGGAATCACTTTGGTTGGCAAATCCTAAATGAAGCTTTTCCATGCAACCTGAGAAAGGTTTGGCTTCAAAATCTCTTCTGAAGAGGAAACGTACCAGCTTGGAAAGACTAAGATACCCAGTTACAACAGCTGTCAATATCCTTAAGGAGGCATGTTCCATACTCTTCAGTTAGATGTATTATCTGCAATCAATCACCAATTCAAGTAAATCCTGTATTACAAAAGACATTATGCAGAGTCTATACATCAGTAGAAGTGCAAGAAATATTCCTTCATGCTGAAATGTCTTTTCAGCTGTTGTGAAATGAGGAAATAGCCCTTTAAGTTTACTGCATTCACCAAATGTTAATTTAAAAATCTCTGCGGATAAGCAATTCAGTACTTGAAACCAGAAGAAATTGTATATGTGCTTCAGTTTGCTTTATTGGTGATATTTTTCTGTAATTATTCAGCTCATATTCTCCTATTTTATGTTTACAAAGTTGTATAAGTACATATGGGCACAGGTATCTGACAGTTTTGCAACCACTCTTCTGCTGCTTTAAACTGCAAAACAACTTTGTGTAGTAAAACAGGAACAGCTTTCTAAGCAAATGAAACTACAAAAAGGTTTTCAAAAGAACCTACTAACCAGTATATTTTGGGGGTTTTTTGTTTTGTTTTTTGCTTAGCTTTTTTTTTTTCCAAAGGGAGCCAAAACCTTCAAAAATATGACTTTTATTCTGGTGGGACATTTTCAATTGTCCTCCCTAAAATAAGCCTCTAGTTGTTACCATAATACCTACCATAGAAGACCTAGGCCTACTAACATGAAGTTGATGAAACATATTTTTGTTTCCAGCTCTCTCAATTACTGCTGACAGAAACCAGTGATCCCCTTGAGGAGCAGCATGAGTACCACACAGCAACAGGAAAGGCCAACCAGTCTATTTCTCAACAACGATCGCAGCTTCACTCCACAGCAGGTAATGCTGGCTAACCATCTTTGGCCTAGTTTAACACAAACCTGGCTCAGATTTCTACTACTTTTAGAGGTGATGTTCTGTACTCTGATGCTAAGTAAAAAGTTGTGCTGTCTGAGCTGAATATGCAAACCATTTTAGTCTATGAAGTAATTTAAAAACTGTTTCAAAAGTTACAACAGGCAAATAACATTACAGAAACCCTAAGAATATATATTTAAGCTCCAGGCCACAACATGCTCTGTATGAGCTATTAATTTAGCATTTTACCAATTCTAACAAATTTTGACACATAACTATTTGAAACCATCACAGCAATAGTCAGTGGGAGTTAGGTTACTCAACAGAATAAAAAATTTACTGATAAAACGAATCATACATATACATAAGGCTTCAGAGGAGGCTTTTTTTCTTTCTTTGCAATATCCTATAAAAATTAAACTATCAAAGGTTACCCACAACTACTAGTAGCAATAGCGTAGAAAGCAGGAGACAAAGCAAGTCCAGGTAGAGGTGAAACATCAACAGTTTCTTCTAACAACTGGTTCTTGCTTGCCACACGACACAACTCAGCACCCGTGTCCTGGAACTCAGAATATTCTTCTGCACCTCTTCACACTATATTCAGACTAATGACCAGGAACAAGGTTTTTTACAAGTGTCAAGTTTAAGAAAAAAACTAAAATGCAATCCAGACAAATGGCGAGCAACCTAGCTCAACTCAACTCCCACTGTATATAGTGATGGTTTAGAAGACAACTTTGAGCAAGTGGCTCCTAGTAGAACATACATGCTAACAGAACAAATTTAACAAGGTTTAGTGCCAGGTCCTAATGTTAATGGAGTATGATTTATGCCTTCTTGCAACAGAACTGAATTGAATTTATCTCCACCTGTAACACATTCCTTCCTCTTCTCTTTCAAAAACCAAACCCAACTTAACAGCCATGCCCGCCAAACGGCTGAGCTTGAAGCTCCATCTAGTGACAAATCGTGGAATTGGTGCTAAACTAAAGCAACATCCTACATACATCACCACACCTGGCACAACTGATTTTGATGCATTTAAAAAAAAAAAAAAAAAAGAAAAAACAAACACTTTGTTTGTTCCGACTACAAAATATTCTCTGCAAACTATATAGGGCATTTCTCTCAAGAAACCAATGAGCCAGGAAGTAACAAAACCATCTGGCATAAAAAGTTACGAGCTTTACCAAAACTGCCTTATTCTGTTGACACTCCCAGCCATAACATTAGGAAAACACAGAGAAGCATTCATGGCATGCTGACCTCAAACCTGCTCTTGAACATCTGCCACTTCCAGCCTGTATCAGGAAAAGGTCTGCACACATGTTACTTCTACTTAAGAAAATACCCTGAAAGACATAGTTCTCATCATTTACTCAAGACCCAAAAGAAAACCCACTCAAAACCTTCCTGCCAAATTGCAGTATAGTGCAGTGGAGGAAGAGACATCAGTGCCCTATAAAACGAGTGTGTATCACCTCTCATCTGAGCCAACTGAACTAGAACACATTGCTAGAGCAGCAAATTGCCTTAAGCTCCACCACAACATACATACGCACTTTCTTCTAGAGCCATGAGCTCCATACATAGTCCATACATGTTCACTGACCCCTTAAGCACATATCCCTCTGCTATCTAGTATGTAGACAGGTAATGCAGAAGAAAATTTGCAGGGTAACTCCCCGGCCTTTAACACAACTGAAAAGTAGTCTTGTTCTGACCTTCATGTGGAATCAATGAGATGCTGGGCTCAAAGACCACCACATCCATGCCCTGAAAGGTGGAAGACAGGCTTGGGTGAAGAGCAGAGGATCTTTGGTCTAATGTACTGTTTTCCAAGTGGCAAATTTCCAGACCTCTGAAGGCCTGAGGAGCTGAAAGACTTAAACTAAAATGTTTTAGTGGTTAGGATCCCCTCAAGCGGTGGAAACAGCTTGTGTGCCCATCTGGTAGCTGGTATGGCTCCAATACAGAAGGGACAGTATTTGAAGCTTGCTGACCTTGAAAAGAGCAACCCAAGCCCAAAATTTAGAAAACCTGCAAACATCAAATTATCAGCGGTAACTTAATGTCTTTTTTTAATTATAATTTCAACTTTTAAACTGTTTATGAAAGTTGAGGCTGGGAAAAAAAAGAAGAAAGATCCTTTTGTGCAGTCTGAACTTTGGAAGCAAAGAGTTCATATCAAGACAGAGGAAGAAGTAAATGGCAATAGGCATGTTCCTCTTTCACCTTCTCGGAGTTTAGCCATGGATGCAAATGCCACATAACTTCTACTAAGTATTTCCACTGTCGGCCTATATACACACTACTCATAGGAGCATACTGCTTGAAAGAGTATGATAAAAAAAATGAAAAACACCACCTCAAGCTCCCCAGTCTAAAAGGGAGCTTGGATGTATCATAATCTTGGTGTCCGAGCCCTTTCACAGACACACGAAGTTAGCTGGCAGCTGAAAGCTTAAGGGAAGCAAAAAAGCCATATTTTCTACTTTAATGTATACTTAAGATATAGCATAAAGATCATGGCCAAGGCTGCTTGCACTCAATCCTGAAGTCCTTAAAGTTTACAATTCCTTTTCAATTTTCCTTATCTCATTCTCTTCTAGAATACCAGTGACCACTGAGAGAAAGTATCCTACCAAAATAGCTGCAGTTTATCCTTATCTTCAGCCAGAAGGAACCTGAAAGAGCTTGGGAGACAAACGCTGCGTATACCATCTGCTGTCTAGACTTGGCTTCTGGAGTATACAGTATAATTACAGTTTTCCCAAAGGTCCTCATTATTATCCAGGAACACAGCAAGCAAAACAAAAGGAGATACTAAAGTAATACATTTGGCAATGACTTGTCCCTGCTACACAAAATAAAGCTATCCACAGTGTTCAGAGCTAATCAAGCCATAGTTTCCATGCGAAATATACAACTCATAAGCTCCTACTTATGAGCTCCCATTTCACAGTTTGAGGCACTAACCACACATCTGCTAAACAAGGAAGAAACACATGTCATTAACATAGTAGAAGGTGGCTGTACCCCAACACCCAAGATTCCAGCAACCCATCTCCTAGACAAGAACGTGAACAGCATGGTCCTACATTTAAACAGAGATCATTCTAAACAGTTTGTACCAAGCAGACATTAAGACTACCAAAAGTTAGCTGAAGATGTCAGAATTTTTTCTAGTGCTGAGCATCTTTAGGGGACATGAGGCATACAATCTGGATCACCAACGTGCTTTACACACATATTTTACATGTACATCTTTCTGTCTTTGGATAACACAAGAACAGTAACTGATGCAGAGTGAAGCCCCTCAGTGTGTCACTCCTGTTCATTCGCCAACTACTGAGGTTCTTTTGGTTTTGCTCTTAACTCTTCCATTAATTTCAGCTGCTTTGCATCAATTTGAAATGTTAAGCTGGGTGCACTCAATCACTTTTTGTACGTAAAAGGAACTTGGAAACATACAAAAACTTTACAAGTGTTTCAAATTTTTCTGCAGTAAGTTCTTCACCTGTCTTTTTTGAGTTGTGTGAAGAGAAGAACACTTTCTTTATTCAGAAGATTACGTATGTTATATCCATTTCCTACAAATAAAAACAGAGAAAGTTTTCTTTAGAAGCCAGTAGTAATTTCTGAGTCCTCTCTTAAGACAAATGTATTTCTATTTCACATATTTTAACAGAAGGAATATAAGCCCCTACTGTAGAAGGGGCTCTTACAGGCATGTCATTGCATTTCAAAGAGATAAAAAGCAGTATAGCTAGTTTCATTTATTCTAACCTGTGCTAAGAATAAAGCCGCTGAGAAGATTTTTACTGAAAAGTATGTAACAGGCTTGAGCTCTCACCTCTTGAAGCCCACAAGAAAATTTTCAGGTGACTGAATTAACTTTCATTTATTCCTACAGAAAATCTCCGTAAAACCCACACAAGGACTGAAGATCTTCACTCATAGATTTGCATACTAACACAACCACAAATATGGAAACATCTAAAAGGCATTGAATGTCAGGACTAATCGACATCCTAACATTTGTCTACAGCCACACTTGATGAAATTACAAAGAGATCACCCTCCACAACCAATGCATCGCCTATTCAGCGATATGAGAGAGGCCATCAAGAAGCAGGTAAGAATGGAAATGAAGTATAGATTCTTGTGGCCCCACAGAACTTTCAGCAGTTTTTATAATCTGCTTTTGCAAAGAGCAAACCACAAAATTGTCTCTGGAGACCCCTGTACTTTTAAAACTAAAACAAAGAGAAAACAGCTTCAAAGCATCAATCATTATTTGGACAATGTTCAATCAGGATGTTCTGGTGGAAAAGTTAATGGAAAAACAAGTGGTACCTTGTCATTTTCTAACATAGCCTCTTCACAAGAAAGCTGTACAAAAGTTTTCTACAGCTCCATGAATTGCCTGCTTTACAACTACTACAGACTCTCCTTACTTGCATCTTACCCACTGAAGAACAATCTCCCATATAGAGGAATTCATTCTACTTTTATCTCAGAAGGGCAAAATCACTAAATTCTCAACAACCCATATGGAGTTACAACCAGTTCAACTAGACATTCTGCATCTTTTACGTATCAAGCATAAAGTGCAAAAGGTGATGAACTGGTCCAAACGGATTTTCACAATTATATGTAGAAAAAAACAGCCAACACATAGCAACCAAAACAATTACATTAGCGACCGCTATATATTAAGCTGTCTTTAAAGTTTCCCCAACACTATAGTTTAGGGACAGCACCAGAATACCAAGAGAAATTCACTCTTAGAACTCGGTAGTATCATAAATAACTTTGAGGCCAACTCACATAAACGTGAGTGTTTGTACCACTGCATTCATATCCAGTCTTGGGTCACATTCCTGTCTTCACAACCCTATGTTTTTCCACTCTCTACTCAAAGATATCTTTTCTCATAATTCAGCTCTATTTTGCTTAGCAGCTTGCTAACCAAGTCTCATCTATGTCCAATAGACTGGTTTTAAACACATGTACATACCTGCTGGAACATAGAAAAAGTCCCCTGTAGTCAGATAATATGATGTCTTATGTAAGGTAACAAGAACTTTGCCACAGATAATATGGAAAGCCTTAATGAAAGCCAAACAGTTTTAAAGTTAGCAATGTTTCTTCTGCAAACATTTAAGGAAGTTATCCAAGAAAATATACTCTTTGTTTTGCATACATGCTGTAACAAAATCAGAAACCAGATAAGCTAGATACTTCTATCTTGCCTGCAAGATCCAGAAGAAAGTATTCATTGACATACAGATTTAATGTGAAGCAAAGCAGGGCAACATGCATGCAGAGTGCCTATAACAAGTTCCTTTCATTATAACTGATTTCACAACTGAAATGATTCATTTATGTTCTCTGTATTAATTTGCATTATAGTGGGAGAAAACCCTGAAAAACATACCAATGTTCCATGCACTTCTAACCAAAGATTTTATGTTTACATAGTCCATTTTATAAAAATCAGAAAAAATCATACTTACTATTGTATCCATGTGGACAAACTGATGTCCCTTTTCTTTAAATGGTTTCAAAATCAATTTACCAGTGGCAAAAGCAGATGTATTCAAATTTTTATATATTTCTACCGATTCGTCTTTGAAGAAGCATGCGTTACTGCTTTCAGTGTTAACACATTCTATAAGAAGGTCCAGGAGATCAACATTAATATTAACGCATAATTAGTCTTGTTATTAGCTCAGTAACCACTTATTAAATCCTACGCATTACATATTGTTTCAGTGCAACACCCCCCAAAAGGTAGACTCAGTATTTAGATGAAAAATCAGGATGCTTTTTTGTCTCTCCGCCAGAATTTTCTCCAGAAGAGCGATGAGTATTTCAACAGCTCACCCTTTTATGCCCCATGTGGCATGAACACTTCTTATCGGTCTAAATACTTACTACAGAATTCAGATAGGCTCTTGGTCACACACCCTCAACTCACCTAGAAGTACTTCCTCATTTGTTACCGGGTCCACTACAACAGTTGGCTTAGAAGTATCAGCTAGGCTGTGATCCAGATTTGGAGGTATCTCACTTCCTGAGAAAAAACAAAAACCCACCATAACAAAAAACACAAAAATAATCACTCTACATTTTAAAAACTTGATTATTTAACAACTTTTCTACAACTTTAGATTTCACACATAAGTACTTAAATTTGGTTTAAGCGACTAAATAGACTGAATACACTTTCTTGAAATAAAGAGAAACTTTCCTTAACAATTCTCCAAAAATGTAGTTTTCATTGGAATTATTTTTGTGTGTAATAGATAAAGGGTCTCTAAAATCCTAAAGAATTTTCCAGGGGAATGCCAACTATATATCCTATGCTACTGATAACAGTATTTATTTTAAAGGATCTGTGTTTTAAGAGAAGTGCGTTTCTAGCAACAGATGCTGAGAGGATATAAAATACATGATGTATGAAGAGCAAGTTTTTTCCTTTTACCTACTGCTGATGGGCATCAGGAGACTTAAGACATAAAGCGTTCAAAAGAATAAGCACGTGTTCAATTTTCCTTTTCTCAAGAAATGCCATTAAAGGAATCTCACTTGAAGCTGTAAATCAGAGAACTATTTCTATAATAAAAAGGATTTTTCTAGAGAAGGAAACAGCCTAAGAGTTGATGACAACCTTACACTTTTCAAATAGAAAAGAGACGCTGGAGAATGTTCATGACAGCATAAATATCCCAAAGCTCTCTTGCAGAGCTCTCTTAAGCAGACAATTTAAACTCCGTAGTGCACAGGAAATGTCCTTAAATGCAGTCAGAACATGGATGTTAAAAAGCAGGCTTTAGCATTTTGTGACTGATATAGCACTCATGGCTTAAGCAAGTACTCTTATGCCACAACAGTCAGGGTAGGAGAAACTTGTTTGAAATAGCTTTGTTTCAACATAACCATCTCTCTCTCAGAAGCAGCAACAGCTGCAACTCTCTATATAGCTATAAACACAATATTTTTATCATATCAATAAAATTTAGGAATATGTCCTAGAAATACTACTCAGCTGATGGTCATTATATGCATCACTTAAAATTCAAGGATGCAAGCAAAAGATTACCTGTAAGGGTGAAAGTCTGTTAAAGAGGAAATCTACCACTTCTGGAAGACAGTTCAAATGCACCTAAAGCACCTTGTAAAATACAGCATGAACAGTCACTACCAGCTCAGGTTTACATGGGCTGCAAATGATTTGTATTAAAACATAGACTCTACTTAGAGCAAAGGCTGATCTAGACCAGGATCCTGTCTCCCATCAATGGCCAAAAGTATACCTCTTCCTTCGTAATGCTGAAATGTTAAAGTTTCCATGAGATTATACAGCATTGCTATAAATACAATAAGAACAGTTTTTCCATATCATCACATTAATATATTTATTACCCAGAGAGATTCTTTTTTTTTTACAGCAGGGAAATCTTACAGAAATGGGAGTATTTTCTTTTTTCTTTTTTAAGTATCAAAAGAAAAAAGTCTGTATTCATATTTGTTTCCGTACTTGTTTCATCCTTTCTCTGCTTGTGACCATCCTTCCTCAGTTTAATCTTCCTGTGAGGTTCTGGTTCTGGACACACTATTCCACTAATCACAAGCCCTCCTGAAACAAAAAAAAGCTCATTAACTCACAATAATTTTTCAAGAATGCAGACTTGCACAACCAACATGCATTTCAGTTGAGAATATATTTCCTTGATGTTGAAATTTTCAGATCGCTGTAGAAAGCCAGAACAAGAAAGCTTTTCAACTTCAAGTATTTTGGAGTGTAATGCATCTTGAGACTTTTTTTTTCAAAAGAATTTGATCATATTTCAGTCAAAGAACATTTCAGAAATCCATGACATGAAAGTAATTTTTAAGACAAAACATCAATTTTAGGGACATAAAAAAATTTGATTTTCAAGCAGACTGGTTGATTAGGAAAGGACTAAAATAGGCTGAACTGTCAGAAAAAAAATAAAATCCTTGAGAACATCAGATCTATTCAGATCAGATCCCGAAGATCTATTCTAACACTTTGAGGAATTTAACACTGAGACTAGATAAAATACTGTAATATCTACTGTGGAGAACAATCCCCACACAAAGGGAAATGATCCAATGAATGATCCAGTAGACTCCCTCTTCTTCCGGTGACACACAGAATCTTTGACGTAATAAACCTACTAGCAGAAAGAAACGTTTTGTTCTTCTCTAAACAGTTAAGGCAAGGCTGATACTATTTCTAGCTGACACAGGAATATCAGGAGAGAAGAAGGACTACACAGAAAGCTGACTAAATAGCTGTGGATCATAAATGATCCACTTTCTAAACCAAATTACCAAATGTTAAGAACCTCAAAGCTTTCACAGCACAAGATCAATCCACAGATTTTTCTTTACTGCTTCACCAGGAGAAAGCAAATAGGTATTTTGGAAGTAGTACCTGAAGGCCTCATCGTATAGTTCACACGCTCGCCTCGCCAATATTCCAGAGGTCTCAGCCGTAACCTTTTTGTCCGACGAACATTAGGTGTGTTGGAAGGCATTACTAATTTAAAGGATGAAATCATTTACATTAAATATGAAAGGAAAATTGGGAAATGGAAAACATTACATATCCTTTCCTGTTGTTCCATATCAGGGGGGTCAGCACTTCCCAGCTGATAATTATATCAAACTGCTATCATGACAGGAAAAGGGAATCAGCATTGCCAAAAGCATTCTTTTGCATACATCAATATTTATTCTCCTTTTTCTTAAAGTCACCATGCTGCCTTCATATTAGATTTCATTCTATATACATTAGTAAATCTGAGATACGAACATTAGAGACTCAAGCACAAGTAGCAGCAAACATGGAATCATAGAATAGTTAGGGTTGGAAAGGACCTTAAGATCATCAAGTTCCAATCCCCCTGCTATGGGCAGGGACACCTCACACTAACCCATGTCACCAAGGCTCTGTCCAACCTGGCCTTGAACACTGCCAGGGATGGAGCATTTACATCTTCCCTGGGCAGCCCATTCCAGGTCACAACACCAATCCCTGAGGGACACCACTCGTTACTGGTCTCCAGCTGGACATTGAGCCATTGACCACAACTCTTTGCGCGCGACCATCCAGTCAGTTCTTTATCCATCAAGTGGTGCATCTATCAAATTGATGTCTCTTCAACTTAGAGACAAGGATGTCATGTGGGACAGTGTTGAACACTTTGCACAACTGTGCAGACACCAACTCTAAACAAAGACTAAGAACCCTGCCTAAATGTGAAGGATTTCATTAGCAACAGTGAAAAGGCACTGCCTTGGTAGTGCAAGAGGACAGTAACAAAGAATACACAAGCAGCCTCTTGGTTTCGAGATTCTTAAGTCCAATCTCCAAGTTCCAGGAGAACAGCACTTTTGCCAACAGAAACCCCCCACATTTCCAAGACTTCTCAGGTATTTATCTTACTTATTACTAAGTCTCAACTTTCAATTTGTCTAAGCTGCTATATACGAATACGGTAACATTCAATATTCTAGTGTTTGTAAGAAAGAATAAAAGCCCCCCGAGAATTGACAGCAAATTAGTCAAGAATATTTAAAGACTAAAAATAAAAATGGTAAATAACTTGCAATAGTTTTTGAAGGTAGACACAACTATAGTGTTGCTCATAATATACTAATGAAGTGACTAAAACCCAATAAAACATTCTAGTATGGGACTACAATTGATTGCTTGCCCATTGCTCCATCCTATTTAGACTCAGACCACCACAGAAGGCAGGTTATTGGCACTCTCAGCTATACTGTGTAAAACCAAACTCTTATTGTTCTCATTGAACTGTGAGCAGTGTCTTGACTTAATATTACATGAAAAACAAAAATGTGACAGTTAAAAAGATAACTGTTGAATACAGTAATAAAAATGAAATACTAGAAGTTTTAAAAGTAATCTAAAAATTAGAGCAGAGTTAATGTACACTGATGAACTACCAAGCCTTATCTGTAAATACTAACATATGAACTCATTTCTAGGTGCCTTCCTGTGTCTCCCTCGGCAAAGTTTACATCGAAGTTTACATATAAATGCATTTGTATTTATGCACTTACACTAAGATACTTTAAAATAATCTTACCTATTTTATGTCTTGCTAATTCGTCTGACAATAGATGATGTATTTTACTGTCCAACCCTTCAGAATTATCTGAAAACACATTCAAAACCCACAATTATAAGAATATACTATTCCTGACTTTTATTCACTCTACCCACTAGAAGCAACCAAAGGCAATACAAGCAGAAGTCCTTTTTCCTTTAACCATACATGAAACCCAGTGTAGATAAACAGTATGTGCAATTAGCTTTTAAGCAGTGTAAGCTTGAAAATTACATGAAAACTATACATTCAAGTAAATATTTCCCAGGCCTTTTCCTTTGATAAAACAAACATTGGCAAATTATAATTACACATACCATTTTATTGCTCATAGTTTAAGGTCACTCAGCTTTATACCACTCAAGTCTGACTTTAGAACAACCTTCTTATCAGAACACATACAAAACTAGGTCTTTGAAGAAAACACTGCATGAATGAGTAACATTCACAACTGGCTCTAAAACACTAACAAAAAGATCTCCTGTCCCTAGGGTTCATATTCATTATGACAACATGTGGTTCATATTCATTATGACAACATGTGCAACTTATGTAGGGGAACTTAAAAGGAAAAAAAGCAAAGGATTTTTAGGCAAACCAGCCATGATTCAATAAAGATGTACAATCTGGCCTGAAGTGATCAAGTAACATCACATGGCAACACACCAAACTGGTACAAACCAAGCCTAAAAATTGTATTCAAAGTATTCTGGAAGGGTAACTTCATCCTGGCAGGCCTAATTACAAACCACATAGTACTTGTCCCTCCAAAGCTAACACATGGTAAAGCCTGAATACTGTATCATAGCTTTTGGCAGAGGTGACCAGAGCCATTACAATATGCATTTCTTATCCTGGACAAGCAGAGTACAACATTAAGAAATTACTAAACCATGAAATACTACTTATAAGAAGCTTATACATAAAATGAAAGAAAATAACTTTAAACATTACCTGAAGATGTATCATCCTGTTCAGAAGACTGACTGCTGGAAGCAAATTTATCACAATGTTCTAGAACAGGCCTGCTTCAAAGGTAAAAAAAATACACTGCTTGAATATGTTAAATGGCAAAGCAACATTACAGCACTACCAAAAATCGCAAATTTAAGGGATTTCTTTTCAAATCACGTGAGATGTTTTTTTTTTTTTCCTTCTAAACTTGTCTGCACTGATTAGACACTGAAGCAAATGACCGCTAGTTAGGAGTCACAGGACTGAAATTCATCAATTCCTTCTCTACTTGGTCATTAGGCAGACAAACTAGTGTTCACACCTTCCCTCTAAACAGGTTTCTTAAAAACCTTTTATCAATTTCTTCTTTTATCTCCCTTTGAGAAGAAACAGAACTTCTCCTCTCCTCTGTAGCACTACCCTCCAAACTATTTCCACAGAACATGATTACGGAATTGCTTTAAAGAATAATTTGCATACTGTAAAGAAAGGACAATAAAACAGTTTGCAATTGTAATTTGTAGTATGCATTCTGACATAAAATTTTCCACGTAAAATGACAATAATTAACATATATGTAACTCCACCAAAGATTCTCTAGCAATCAAATAATTTCTAACAGGACCTCTATTAGGACCTTAGCACTAGTATCCCTAACTTTTCCACCTTCCCCTATCTGTGGCTGTGCTTCACTGCTTTTACCATGCCAATGAAGTTCAGGGGTGATTCTCCAAAAGGTGCATTTCAATGCTAGATTTGAAAAGCTGCACTATAAATATGTCCAAGTCAGGAACAGGTTCACTAAATTAAAATTTTCAGTAGAATTAAAACATAAGAATTTAATATATTCACAGATGACCACTCCTGTTTGCTTTGTTATTAAGTTCCCACCCCACAAAGGAGAAGATACATGCATAGCCACATGCACAAACAAAAGTCTGGATTGTATACATATAAGCAGGATATAGATACAGTTCTATACTCTGCTTAACAGCAACTTTATTAGTACAGTAGTTATTTCTAGGAGCACTAGTATTTCTGTTCAAAAATGATGTACTAATGTGGAAGCAAGCCTCAAAGGAAAAAAAAATCCTCAAAGGCAAGTAACTTACTATGACTCCTTATTTATTAATTAACTGTATTAGCATGGTATTTAAACACCTAGCGCATGAATCACAATTCCTTTCTACTAGGTTCTTCAGTAACAGAACACAAAACGCAGTAGTAGTACCAAGCAGCTATTCTGTCTCAGTGGGGCAGAACTAAGATTAAATGCTAGTTTTACAAACAGCTCAGGAAATCACCTTTCGTGACATGTAGGCTTCTGAGCTGCAATGGAATCTCTAGAAGAGAAAAATGTACTATTATTAGGTTTACTGTTAAGTCAATTTTGCTTACTAAAAGAAACCTGTACGTCAATAATATTATGTACTGAACAGATTCATTAAAAAAAAATTAAAAAGCACTGCAAAGAGCAGCGAATAAAATCTCAATTAGACTGGTTAAACAGACTTAGTCTTTTAATTACCAATCAGTAGTAAAGTTAATTCTTCAGAAATAAATATAGTTGAAGAGTTAAAACACTATTTTTTCTGTTTATAAACAAAGAAACAAACCTGACAGTGAGATCATTCTACAGGTGGTGGGCTTGTGTGCATGTTGGGGGGCTTTTTACTTTATTTGGTTTTGAACTGTATCTGCTACTTAAGTCTCAAAGGAACACACTAAAAAATCCAGCACAAATTTCCTTATGTACAAGCAGACACTAGATTCGGCACCCACCTTTGTGACTAGGATGTTGATTATACCATTTGATTTCCCTATTAGCTATTCAGTTTGGCGATTACTGCTTAGAAGTTAACAAGATGCATTTAATTATCTACCAAGTTATACTGCACTTGTAAGGAATTACATAAATAAACATACTTTAGTCCGTGCTGTGCGTAGCGTTTTCTTTTGTTTCTTTTTATTTTCACATCTGATAACTTGCGGTTTTCCCTTGTACTTTCCTGTACAGAAGAGCTGTCAGAATCCATTTGAGACTCATCGTCCTCAGGGCCTGAGCAAACACCTTCACTGCTTCTGCAGTGACTCCTTTCGGGTATCTTCCCTGAAGACTTAGCTGACAGCAGTTTCTTTTCAGAATTCTTCACGCTGCCTATGACATGCTGTAGTGCTTTTACAGGAGTTTTGTAATTTGCACCACCAATGGACTCCAATGTCTGCAATACATTTTTAGGCTTTTCAGACTTAGCCAAGTTCTGAATCACAGAAGTCTCTAATTCCTGATACAGGACTGAGGCAAACACCTCATCCAATTTTGCAGGCTCGCTTTCAAGCTCTTCTTCACTGGGTACACTGTGAGAAATCTCCTTTCTTTGTAACTGAGGTTTTTTATCACTACTTTTCTTGCCATTTTTTTTGAGCTTCTTCCTTGGACTTCCTGCCAGTCTCTTAGCTACTGTACCCCCTGGATGTTTCTGCTTAACAGATTGTTTCTTGTGAACTAAATGCTGAGAAGCTTTTGAAGCAGACCGTGGATTCCTGGAAGACTTGAGATTCTCTTTTGGAGACGGAGACTGCTCTTGCTGATGCCCAGCTGAGGACATAAGTGAATCCTCACTTGGCATCACCATTGTTTTACACTGTTCTGCATCACATGCTTTTGTTTCCAGACCAGACTGTGACAACATAATTTTTTTGGCTTCTGGTTTCCAGGGTGTGTCCTTTTCCTTGTTTGGAGAGCTTTGCTTAAGTGCATCCTTTTTAGTCTTTCCTATCAATACACAAAACAGTTGGACATTAGTATCTTTTCTCATTAAACCTAAAGATATATGATTTAATAACTGAAGAGAAAAATAAACCAAAGAATAATAATAATTTTTTTAGAGTATCACAAAAGCAGTTGTTTAAAAAAAGCAGATGTTTAAAAGAAGGCTTTCTCTGAACTACAGTATATAAAAAAATTAAAACCAGAATTTTCAGTGTACTTCCCAGCAGACAAAAAACAGCAGAAATGTTACATTCAATCTGCTTTCCAGTTTTCAGTATTTTCTGCTACAAACCCCTTCACAAATAATTCTTAAAAACTGATCTCCACCAGTTCACCACTGATCTTCACCAGCTTCCTTTCTACACAGAGAGGAGCAAAAGCTTTTGGGTAGCTACTTTCTTTGCTCATTAAGATAAGACAACACTGCTAACTTATTTTTTAATGTCTTAACAGAAAGAGCTGAATAGGCGGTGGGGTGCGAAGACACTCTGTCTCACCACCTTCTATACACCCACACCTGACTGCAACTGAAACATCAATTAGGAATCCATTAATGTCTCTCATCGACTTCACCCTTATTTCCAAATAAACCACCACAAAAAAATCCAGCCATACAACCAGAAAGAAGTCTAAAGACCTGTTTAAATAACTTACCCATATGAGTAATGTTTTGCCTTTGAGATTTAAGAACCCTTCCTTCACTGTCAGAGATGGAATCTGATTCTGATGTTCCTTCTAATTCATGCATTCTGACATCCAAATCATCCATTTTCTGTTTAGTACGTGCTTGAACCTGTACTTTCCTCTTCTTGCCCTTCTTACCCTCTGCCTTCTCCTTTTCCATATGAGTAATGTTTTGCCTTTGAGATTTAAGAACCTTGCCTTCACTGTCAGAGAGGGAATTTGATTCTGATGTTCCTTTTAGTTCACGCATTCTAACGTCCAAAACATCCATTTTCTGTTTAGTAAGTGCTTCAACCTGCACTTTTCTCTTCTTGCCTTTCTTACCCTCTGTCTTCTCCTTTTCCATACGAGTAATGTTTTGCCTTTGAGATTTAAGAACCTTTCCTTCACTGTCAGAGATGGAATCTGATTCTGATGTTCTTTTCAACTGATGCATTCTGACATTCAAATCATCCATTGTCTGTTTAGTAAGTGCTTCAACTTGTGCTTTTCTGTTCTTGCTTTTCTTACTCTCTGTCATCTTTTCAGAGGGCTGAAACTTAGAAACAGGAGTTGCAGAGCTAGCTTTTCTTGATTTTTTGTTCGTACGGGGCATTGAAATGAAAGAATTACAAGATACATCATATGATTCATCAACGAAAAAATCACATTCATTTTCTATATCTTGATCTTTGACAGGAGGAGGTGATGGAGGTGATATTGAGGCTGAATGCCTAAAGAGAGGAGGGACAAAGTATTCACATCATGCGGGGAGAAAAAATCAAAATCTCACAAATCTAGTGATCATTCTAGAACACCAAAACATGCTACAAGGCATTCCTCAGAAGGATTACTATAAAGTTCATCATTCACTGCCCTTTAGCTTCCAAAGAGAACAAGGCCTCCTTCTCCCTGATTTGTGCTCATATGCACACTTCATTATTTCTCAGATGCTGGATAGTCAGCTTCCTATCTAACTGGTCAGATCCATATTAGCTTTGAAAAAGTCTGAATAAGTGCTGACTTCAGAATCACGTAAGGTTTTCCTGAATCCTCCAACCTACCTATCAAAACATCTCAGGCTCAATCTGAAACACTATTTAATAGCTACACACTAGTTTACTGGCAGACAAAAGCAACAGCACTGTTAAATCCTAACAGCACAGAACTCTGAAACAATTACTCAAACCCTTTCTCAAGAGGCATTTTTCAGTGTGCTTTGGGATAGACCAATGTTTCTCCCAGACCATGTTTCCAGGTAAAAGGATGTTGCACCAGTACTCAGGACTGAGTTATTTTACTAGCAAATTACATTCCCTATTATGCCTCAAAACAAACCTTTTTCCAAGTGTTTCTGTTGCTACAGCTGCTAAGACAACTGAAGAGAAAGACTTCCTTTTCTGTACAGAAGACGTAGCAATACATTCTGTTCCATTCATGAGAACCTGCTCATCTCTTCCAGTCTGAAGTCCTCCCAGATTTTCAACTTCCATGTGGCTCTTCACTGCAGCAGGAGCATTTTGGCCATGAAAGTGTAATCTATGTATGAGAAACAGCATTCAAATATGCTATAAATTCTGACTGCACATTAAGCCTCATATGGATGGACAGATGCCCTCATTTTCTCCTGCGGACAGTGTCTCACGTCTCATGAGTGAGCTTCCATTTGGTAATTTGCTGGAACACAGGTTAGCTGTACTACTTTTCAGCATAGTAACAAGTATCTTAATCAATGAGGCAACATAGGGTCAGCCTGTGATTTGATCAAAGTGAGGGCTGCACAGCAAGAACAGTTCCTAATTTTAGGAGAATGTGATTCAGAAACTGTCAGGTTTCCTAGACTCCAGGTGCACTCTCTTCCAAATCTCACTCCATCAATGGGAGTCAATAGGATCTACTGGGATCAGTGTCAGTCTCCCTTTATGATCTAGCCTGGAGAGTCAGACCTCTGAGAAAAGCAGAACTGTGGCTGGGACCACTGGCCACTCTCGCAGCTGGACTTCAGATTTTCCAGAGAGGAGGTAGTGATCAAATTGAAGCTGTTCTACTTTGCTTAAAGCATCAGTATATTCAGAGTGAGAGGAACAATGACTGCTCATCTCTGCTTTAACAGATTTTTAACTGTCATAGGACTCACTGAAAAAGTCTCGACTACTTGAGAAGTTGACAATTTGGGGCACTTTCTGTGAAAAAGGAGTCCAAATCTGTTCTGACATGCTTCCTGTACTTGGGTCCTGCACTTCTGGGAATTAACCCTTATCACCAGAATATTTAATAAAAAAAAATTCTGTTCTTTCTAAACCCAAATATGAAAATTTTCTCAAAAGCTTGGAATTATTATTACCTCAAAATCCAAACTCATAAATAATTGAAACCACCATGTCAATTTACCCTGAGGGGGAAAACACATGATACCACCACCACATTCAGATCTACTTACGTATGTACAGGAGGACCTTTTGCTTCCTCCAGAAGAAGCAATCTAATTGGCCCATGACCATCCTCAGGGTCCAAAGACATGTCAGGACTTTTGTGTAGTGCTTCAACATCTTTTAATGTGTCGTCTGTTTTTTCTTTAGACACTGGAGACTCTGGGGTTTTAGAATCAGCTACACAATCACATATTACAGGCTTCAGAGGTGATTCATGTGAACATCCTGCTGTATAAATAAAATAGGTTTAATTCTTCTACAAAAAACCTTAAAAAAAAAACCATGAAAGTTACCCAAAATAAAAAACTTAATTCAATAATAGTGCTACCAACCTCTGTTGTTGACTGGTTTTAGTGGTGATGCAGGTAAGGACATTGCAGAATTAAAGGCTTTTTCCACGGAGTTAGTTAAGTCTCCTGTTGACTGCATAGTTGATAATAAATAATGAGACAAAGTAAAATATTTGATATAGCAACAGTGTTTTGACAGGTATATAAATTTCTGCAGAACACAATATAATTTCCTTCTCTTAATTCTTACTCATTTGAAGCACATTTCTATTCTAACACTTCCATTTCCTATCACTTAACACTTTCTAAAACTAACTGTAAATTTCAAACAGGTAAAACAGTGGGCAAGGTAACAATTGATTTGCAGCTTTGAACAACCTGCTAGCCCACAGGCAACCTATTTACTCTTTTCACTAGAGTGAATTAATCTAAACAATTTAATTCATCTTCATTAAGTCAGGCTGAGGTTTTGAAAAAATCAGTTTGAGATTATGCAGGATTCTAACATCAGACTGAAGTAAACAAACACCATTACAAAGGATGCCTGTTCTCAACACTGCTATTAATAGAATATCCTATTTTTATAAAACACTACTAGAATCAAAACATTAAAACTGAATATACAAACTAGATTATTGGCATAACTGTCAGACAGTATATGAACAAGACCTTTGGCTTGTCTCCTCCCTTCAACAAAGTTACAGGTATACGAAGTCGTTGTATGGGTAACTTTATCAGGAGTCCACAAGCTACAAGAACCATCTTTCAATTTTACTATTTAATGGATACCTAAGAACTGTGTCCATATATCTGGCAAAGTGTCTGAAACCAACCCCAAAGGAGTCCAAAACAGCCTTACCCACCACCAGTTAAAAGGCAGATGCTTCAACCTAAGACCATGAGAGATTTTAGTACTCTAGCAAAAAGCTGAAAAAGCTTTTATTAGCAAAAAAAACCAAGAAAATAAGCTATTAAATAAATCTAGTTATAGGTTTTTACTATTATAGCACAACAAACTGAGAAAAAAGCATTACCAACAACTATTACAGAAGGTTAAATTATAGCCTGTATACTAATTCAAGTGACACACAGAGCTTAGTCATACAACACTCATACAGAACTAAACTTGTACTCAAGTAAAACTGTACCCAATGATAGGTTGTGAACCTGCTTTAACTAACTTACCCCTGTAGCCATGTTGTCATTTCTGATGACAGGAGTTGAGCAATGCGCTGGACTTGAAGAGGTAATTGTAAGATCATTGCCACAACCTACAATAAAAAACTATAAATAAGGGATTCTTGGAGTTGTCAAGGTTTTACTTATTTCAACAAGTTCTTAAGGCTTGTTAAGGTCACATAAAAGCAAACAAGAAAGAAACCAGCTACTCAGGAAAACGATTACCTTTATAAGACAGCTAAGACACAGTTTTAAGTGGCTGAGAAATGCTTTTTAAAGACTGCGAGAAAGACTTAATTTTTACTCATTTTATCTCTATTTTTATTACTGTTGTTTACTGACCATTAAATATAATACAAGGAAAATTATTTTTTTTTTAACCAGCAAATTAAACAAAACACCAAATCAAAGCTTACCTTCAAAACCGTCCTGTATGAGTTTCAGTATGTTTTGACCTGGTTCTACAGCAATCTTATTTCTAGAAAGAAGAGGAAAAAAAACTCCAAACATTTTCAATTAGAAATACTAAATGTTCCTATCCCAGCAATAAAAAACTTGTAAAGTTCTTACTGCTTAATATTTTAGATTATTATTTCTACTAGTCCCAAATTTAACATATTTTACCTATCATTTCCATGCACAGACATCTGCAAAGAAACTTGTCTAAATGAGGATTCCAGGAGAAAAAGACCCACTGACACAGAATATAATGAAGAAATCTCTCTACATAAAACACATAAGTACTGCAACAGTTCTGAGGCAGAAAAGTTTTGTGCTGGAGAGGGACTCTTCATTAGGGACTGTAGCAACAGGACAAAGGGTAATGGGTTCAGACTTCAATAGGAGAAGCTCAGGCTGGGTATAAGGAAGAAGTTCTTTACCGTGAGGGTGGTGAGGCACTGGAATGGGTTGCCCAAAGAAGTGGTGAATGCTCCATCCCTGGCAGTGCTCAAGGCCAGGTTAGACAGAGCCTTGGGAGACATGGTCTAGGGTGAAGCATCCCTGCTCATGGCAGGGGGGTTGGAACTAGATGATCATAAGGTCCTTTCCAATTCTAACTATTCTATGATTCTGTGAATGCAGATTCTCTCTTGAAATCATCTTTTGAAAAATCAGTCAAGTCATGTTGCTTGCAGTTGTTATCAATATTCTAGCCAATTTTGGTTTAAAGTATAGATTTTATTAAACTGAGTAAGCGATAGCAGATAAAACAGCGCTGGGTGCGCCGGGGAGCCCTCCGCTCCGCCCAAGACGCTCACACGCGGTCCCTGGGAGGCGGTCCTTTATCTTCTCCGGTTCAAGGCCCCGGCCAATCCTGTCGCCCCTCCTCACTCGGATGTTGACATGGCTCTTCCCCATTGGTTCCCTTTGTTGCAGGGGTCTCATTACTGAGAAGTTTCGGGAAGTTTCGGGAAGCTGCCAGAGGCTTCGAGAAGCGTCCACTGCCAGCCTCCTCACCGTCGCAGCCCCCTCCCCTCAAGCGTTGCAACAAGACACCACTTCGAGCCACCCAGCCCCCTTTTCTCTCTCACAATCCCGCGCAACAATACAACTGACCTCCCCCCATTACCTACAGAGTACAACAGTTACAGAGTCAAAAGGAGTATTGTTTCACATAACGACAGCCACAGAGAGCCTCCCTTCCCCCAAACTTCTTGATGAACAAACCCCACACATTACACAGTGACCAACCCTCAGCAGACCCAGAAATTAAATGCAGAGGCATCCATCCCTTCATACAAGGAGTCACCTCTGCTTCTTTGTTCTGTGCTTCTACAAAAGTTTCAGCAGCAAGGACTGGCTTGCGGTATCAAATCCGTAAGCAAGCAAACAACTCAGCTGCTTGGATTGCTATTTCAAACCTCCCCAGGACAAACAAAAATGGCAAAAGAGATGAACTAGCCAGAAAATGTTGATCAAAACAAAATTAACAACAGCAAAGCCATGGAGTATATCTCGATGATTATTATATGTCTTTAAAAACAGATAATTTGGTACATTTGGTAAGATCATGAAATGCATGTCTAAAAATGGATTCCAGTAACAAAAAGCTCACAGACTTATGACTTTAGAGAAAGCTACAGCACTGCAAATACTCATGCTTAACATTTATCAGCAAGGACCGAATAAGCTAGAACTCTGTGTGCTTCATCTCTCTACCACCTAAAAGGCAAAATGTTTGCACAGACTACTGTTTCTGTGCTCAGGCATCCTAGATGGGCTAGCTTAGGCATAGCTACACCACAGTTTCCTTCTTCAGCAAAGAAATACAAAGGAAACCCTTGATACTTCATCCCCTCCCTGTACAATTTGCTCCTCTCACCATTAGAAAAATACAAGTTTAGGAAACATGTGATCAGCTTACTAACATACACTCAATAGTTTCAATATTAAGCTTGTGAAGAAAAATATCAGCATAATTTTTCCAAACAACTGTATTTAAGAATAAAGTGTTAAATGCAAATTACCCTCTTCCACGGCAGAATCTTGCTCTGTACTCTCTTTTATAACAATTCTGTGAAGAAAAAAGAATCAATTTTTACTAAGCATGGTGACCACTGACAGAGAAACAAACAAATGACCACCTTCCTGTTTCTCATGTAAGCCAGTCTCAGGAATTCTTGATCCATCTGAATCTAGTCGGAGTTACTGCAGCCCTCTTTTTTTCTAGAACACCACAGCAGCCAAAACCCCTGTAACAACTTCCAGAAATTCAACTTTTCTCAAGAACCACGAAGCATGTATTGCATTTAAAGTCAGATACACTTACAGGAGATTTACACAACAGAAATCACAAACTAATGGTTAACATTTCTGCAACAACTACAGAAATAATCTTTTAAGTAAGGAAAAGGAATGAACTACCACAAAACAAGCTAGGACATAACTTTACAACACATCTGTTGCTCTGTGAGAACTGCTTACATGGAGATTCTTGCCCTGTGTTTACCACCAGCATGACCAGGCTGACAGACAATGACAGCATGTCAGCTGTTCCACGGGAAAACTAAAGTCTGAATTAACTACTCCCAGCGCTTCTTTATGTACTTAAACCCCACGTATCATTCAAATAGCAGACATGACTTCAGTCATCTATTACCATAACTAGAGTAGTAACAATCCACTATGTTATCGGTATTACTTTCCATGCCAACGAATTTAATTAAACCTACTTTGTCCCGGAAGAGGCAAAGACTGTAGAAGATAAAAACAGGAAGGGAGGGCAAAACAAGAAAAATTAAAGTAAGCAGTTTCTCAGCAATATGACAAGAAAACAGTGCAAAAGTTTTTAATTTTATCCGAAAAAAGAAACATGACTTCTTGTTTCTGTAAATTAGAACAGAGTGTATATGCAGTGTGGAGACTACCTAGTCCTAACACAATAGAATTTAGCATATTTTTCTAAGTTAGCCATATTGGCATTACTCTAGGTCACACAGGAAAACGACTGATCAAAAGTCATCACTTCAGAAACACTCCAGACCCATATTCCACAGCAAAGCAGTCACTCAGGCTTAAACGTCTTTCTCTTGCAGCTGAGCACGGTACTACGAACACGCAAGCAACCTTTCACGTAAGAAAATGAAAAATCCTATAACAGATCTAAAAGAGCTTTTAGCAGTTTATTTATCATTATACTATACTACATACAGAGCTTTTAAAACCGAAGCTCCATCTCTGACAGATAACTACAGGAGGAAGACGAGTACCTCTACAGCACGTCTGGACAAGAGTCACTGCTTCTTTAACACGCTAACCCATGAAAGGAAGATCTCCAAGACAGGCGCAGCTGCAGGCAGCCCAAGGGAAACGGGGTCCCAATAGGCAAGCCCTCAGAGCAGAAGTGCTTATGCCAGCAAACGGGACCAAGAGGGAGAGCAGAACACTCACCCTCACTTCCCTCTGGAGAACCCTGACCGCGCCTTGAGAGGCTGAAGGACGGCCCCGCCCGCCCCTCAGCAGCGCAGTGAGAGGGCCGCGCCCCTACTTTGACGGAAGGGAACTGCCTCTGTCCCCGACACTCCCCTCTCCCCTTCCCGCCGCTGCCCCCCGCACACTCTCACCCAGGCATTCGCCGTCCGAGGCTGCCGAGACGGCGACGGCGACGACGACGAAGACATCTGAGCCGCCGGGCCTGGCGGCGCGTCCCCACACTACCGCCTCCCTCACACATACACGCCCACACTCCCGCAGCCACCGCTTTCAAACCTCGGCAGCTTCGCGCCGAGCGCGAGCAGCGGCCACGCCCCCTCTTTCCCCTACCCCATTGGTCGGCGGCCGCTGAGAGCCAATGAGGGCGGTTGTTTTTTTGCGCACGCGCGCACCAGCACCACAACCGCCATGTTCATGGACCGTTGTCTTGCCCTGAGGGGAGGCCCCGGGAGCGGCCCTCATGGAAGCGGCAGCTACGGGGCACCTACAGTCCCCGCAGGGTGATGTACGTTTTCCTTTAAAGCATAAGTGAAAAACTCAACGAAAAGCAAAAACCGCTTGGGAACGTAACGCTGTAATACCCCAATATCTTACGGTATCTGCAAAAGACGTCCCCAAAATGTAATCGTAAACTGATGCTTATCCATACACGCTGGCAAGCAGTGGACTAAGTGCTGGCTTGTCATCGCGAACCTCGCCAAGCAAATGTACGGGTACCAATGTTCATTAACGCTCATCAGCAGTCTAAGTCTGCCATTTAAACAGAGCCAGTAAAGAACACATACAAAAACCTGCACTTTAGCCAAAATTGCGATCATGTAGCTGAGGGAAACTGCACAGCCGCTCCCCCAGAGAATCTTCGAGGAGAAGCAGATCACTGACTTGCCTTGTACTTAAGGTCACCTGTCTGTCCAGCACTCAAGATGTCAGGTAAGGCACGCAGTCCCAGGAAGTGGATGTGCTGAAGCATTTCTTTAAAAATGTATTGCTACAGGTGTGTGGGAGAAAATGTTTCTCAGCACTGGCTGACACAAATGGTTACGCTGAAATAACACCTAGTTATTTCTGTTCATATTACGGGGGGGGGAGAGGGGGAAAGGAAGGAGGGGAAGAGGATGATAAAATAAATTATATAAAGTAGCCATCAATATCTCCAGGATCCCATTGCAATTTACTATTAGCTACTTAAATGCAGATTGAGTTTGGCTGATTTCATAGCTACCACCACGGTGAACAGGCAATGAAGCTATCACAATATTTTTTATACCAAGAGCAAAGTTTGACATGGTTATATTGCTCTGACTTATTCTCTGTTTACTGGAGAACAATATCCATGCCGAACTCTTCAGTGACACACCACCTGAAGTATATGTGAGATTCTTAAATCTTTGCTTTTTCTTGTTAGTAGGACTGATGATTTAACTTAGTGTGGACTAACTGGGAAAATAAGAATGGGCTTTTTTACCCAAGATACCTATTTAAGACAAATTTGTAAACACCTACAAGCTTGTGTATGTTACAATAGCATGTATGTTCACAGCATGTCCCTAATCAAGCTTATTGCCCTTTTTCAGCGATTGATGACAAGCCCGGTATTTAGGGTTGCAAAGTCAGTTTTACCATACCTGCACTCACATCTCTGTAGATACAGAAGCACACAGTAGAAAAAAAAGAAGAAAGGACAAGAATGGCAAAGAGAGGACACACTGTGCCTGCAAAATGTGATGGAAAAATACTGTATTGAAATTAGACTGTATTCATGGACTCAATTCTGTTGCTGCCTCAGAGTGCAATAAACTTTGTGTTAAAAAAAAACATTTCTTGTCTACTCACCTGTAACAGCAGGTATCCCAAAGAGACAGCATGGATGCCTCACCTCTGCTGGGGCTTTGAGCACTGTCAGAGAAGTTCAACACAGACCAAAACCCAGAAAATACAAGTCTGGGAAACTGAAACTGGGGGTCCCTGTTTCTCTGAAAGGCCGGCAACCCTTAAAATACCTGGAACATGCCAAATAAGGCAGCTGGGGCATTTTCCGCATTCTGCAACTGAGCGAGGGCATAAATTCAAGCAAATTGAGACACCTTCTGCCCAGCTGAACATTCCCACCCCTCCTACATGCCAGCAGGGCCGTTCATCCGACCCTGACATGAGCTGCTTCAGGAAACTAACCAAAAGTAAGTTGGCATCCCTGTTAGTTACGCTCTCCAAACTACCTTCTTCAGGGACTGAGACGAGCCCCAGTGAGTGCAGGACAAGACTGCACAACTGATAATGAGGGAAGGCAGCAGAGCATGAGAGACCTGCTGGTCATACCTAGCTGCTGTGTTAGGCACAACATCTGTCTTCTTGGAAACCAGGATCAGCCTTCAAAACATGCAACTTAAGTGATAAGCAGTAAGATCCAAATTTAGTATTTTTAGCCTCCCAAGTTCTGTCCTGAGTGAAGTTCTTACAAAATGGGTACCCCCTGCGGAACTATACTCCTTCACAGTTAGTGGAGATGACTACCTCCGGGGACTAGAGCTTTGTTTTTCTTTAAAAAAAGTTTTTCTTAAAAAAAAACAAAACAAAACACACATCTCTGGCAGTGGTGGGGAGCATTCATGCAGCTCAGCTGAAGGCACCTGTAATGTAGGTACAGAAGCAGGCAGCACCTTCACCACACACACAGGGTGTGCTCTAGGTAGAGTTAGTCTTATTTCCAGACCAAGGCTGATTGTCAGGTTTCTTTGATACCAGTTGAGAATCACGAATTATTATATGTGGCAGGCAGTCAAGGCTTGGGAAGGTTATTTTAAAAGAACGCTCATGTGTTTCTGACTAGTATATTACTGTGACCATACAGGCACACCCACTGTATTTTAGAAGTACAACATGAGATATTAGCACTTCCTTTTCATGAAAATACTGAAGCTTATTTTGTGAAGATGGTGCTGCTCAGTATGCATCAGGTTAGAGCTGCAGGTCTTCCTCAGTATGAAAATGAAACTTGTGTGTTGCTGTGAGAAATGGGAACTTAATGCTTCTTCACCACATCTCACTTTTGACATGCAAAATGATGGACTTATTAGCAAGACACTTCTGCTGCTGTATCCGTGCTGTACCTCCTGACACCTTTCAGCTCGAGCTTCAGTAAGCTTTCTGCAGCATGAATAAATACACTAGCTACTTCACTGACCACAGAAAAGATATGAAAATACATGTTTACTAAAATAAATTCTGAAAAGCTATCTGGTCAAAACTTATCAACCTTTGGACAAAGGTTTAGATTGCTGCACTATGCTGCAGCAGAGCGTGCTTTCAGTAACTGCAAAACAGTTAATGGGGATTGATGAACCTTTTAAGCTAGTAAATCACTTGCATTTAACTGAAATTTGGTTCCTTTCTTCACATAACTGGCCTACAGCTACATTGTTTCAAACATATGGAAAAAAGAACATGAACTTACCTAAAGCCTTTACTTATTCTATACAAGTCAGACATATACAAACACCCTGCCTAGTTCAAACCCACATTATTTCAGGATGTGAGATGCGATGATGAGGTGACAGGGTTTCTGTGTTCAGAGGCCCAGCTGGTGCCAGAGTTGTTCTACGTAGTCATTATTCTTGGATAGCTGCTAAAGCACAAGAAGTTTCACCTCAACATGAGGACAAACTTCTTTTACACTGAGGGTGGTAGAGCACTGGAACAGGCTGCTCAGGGATGTCATGGAGTCTCCCTCTCTGGAATCATTCAAAACCCAGCTGGACATGTTCCTGTTTAACCTGCTCAGGGGTTGGAGCAGATGATCCCCAGAAGTCCCTTCCAACCCTAATGATTATATGATTCTGTAAAAATATGAGCAAACTCTGTAAGAAAGCATTTGACTAAGAAAAAGCTTTAATACTGGTAATAAAACTTCATCTCTGCAAGTCAGCTGCTCTTTCAACTAATAACATTTTGAAGGAAAGCTATTCAAAGTGTTCTAGTGGAATGGCTTCACTGCTGCAGGGAGATGGCTAGCTCTAGCTGGAACAGAGCATCAAACAGTCCTAGACACACAGATGCTTTCACTCCAAGGGGAAAATTTAAAAAAAAAAAAAAAAAAAAAAAAAAAAGAGAAAAAGAGAAAAAGTAGCTCCCAGACTCCAGGTAGTGCTACAAGCCTCTGCACCACCAGCATTGATAATGACAACACTGGAGATCTGAAGACCACCATGCTGAAATTCAGTTGCCCAGTTCAACTGAGCCCTTTTAGTGTGATCATGCTGAGCAACTGCTGAGACTTTTGGTAAAAAGCAGCAGCAGATTGAGAAATGGGCTCTATCAAACCCAAATTCACCCTGAATTGACCCACTCTAGTGTACATCCACTTTCTCAATATACATCTTGCATTCTCTATGCATATCAGCAATTAAGAAAGTTTTAAAACATGAAAAACAACTTTAATGGGCCACTTGACATGCACAGTTCTTCCATGTGAAGTCCTCTTTGGTTATTACTTGTAAGATTTTACCTGGGTTAACTTACAGCCAGAAACTTTTAAAGGTCTGCTAATAAATACCTAGAGCAATTGTGCATGTTCAGTTTTTCCATCAGCAACTGTTTAACTTAGCAGAACCCATTCATAGAACAGACATCCATCCAACAGAGACACACAGTAAGAGCAGCACAGAGATACAGCTATGCCTGTAAATTCTGTCTGTGATCCCTTCCAGCCTCGACCTGGACTATTTGGCAAGGGTCTCACATTATTGTCATTAATAAAAGCCATTAATTATATCTGAAAATTTACTTTAAACCCTGAGGACTATCAAATGGCATTCTAACAAAGCACTGAGACTTTATTATTCTTATATGCTACTTACTTCAAAAGCATAAGCATGATGTTAACACCACACTAAAGTGTACTTAAGGTTTCATTTGTTTCCCAGTCTCCAGCTGTGAGAGCTGACAGTGCTTTTGACTTGACTTAAACCTTTAAGTGATTCTTAGCACTAATTAGTCATTTCAGTTGAGTCCAGATTCTTATACTGCCACAGTGAAATACATTTTAGTTATTTAGAAGTAGAAACATGCTGTCTGCTTCTGCCTCCTCTGCACTCTAAAATGTAGTAGCCTTTTCTCCTGTTTCAAAAAGTTTCTCTGAACAAAGCTCTTGGAAAAAAAAAATCATTTAGGTATCTCAAAAAGCACTATTATTATTCTAAAAAATTGTATCTATAAACTTAGACTGACTGTAAAACTATATACACCTTCCAGAAGGTATTCTGCATGTAAGACTAAATCCCAAATATTGGAATAATTGTGTTGACTCTATCCAGTTCATATGTCTTGATGTTCAAGTTCTTAGCCTAACAGCTGTTATTCCTGACTACAACTGAGAAGGAAAAAAAGGAGAGGTAAAATTCCTAACCAGTAATGTTCACTAATCTTAATGTGAAGATATTCCTAAAGCTTAATAACTTATGATCAAGAATAAATAGCTAAGTAGTCAATAGCTTTTGCAACAGCTGCTGGAGATAATGCACAATCACAATCTCAAAAGCTTAAACACATTAAAAGATTTTCCATTCATAGTTTTATTCTAACCTCACTCTATTATCACTGGAAAAAAAAGAAAAAAAACACACAAAAAAAAAAATACCAAAAACCAGAACTACCAGTTCAACTATCCAGTGTTCAAATGGTAGAGAATATAAGATGGTGTCACAGGTGCCTCTCCAAAGCACCTCTGCCTCACCACAGCAGCAAAGCTCATGCTTAATTATTTCTGATTTAGCAGTTTCTTTATACTTGGATATCCTAGTAACTGACTGATAAAAGCCTCAGTATTCAGTGCAACTCAGATGTGTGCTGTGAACAGGTGTACAGCACAATCATGTGCTAGCAGGGAGTGGTACCAAAAGAAGCAGCTAAGGAAACAGTGTTTGCTATGGCAAACATCCAGAGCCCTTTGCCTTTTCTTCCTTTCAAACTTAATTTGCTAGAGAGTTTTTAATTTGGTGAGGCCAGAAAGGCTCAACCACATCCTTCTGGGTTCAGCTCATTACACTCATCAACTGTCTTCTCTTTCTGAAAACAAAGTTTTAATGTTGAAAGTGTTAACTCAGCTCTCCAATACATTTCCACCTTCCCCATATTGCAGTATTCTGCAAAAAACAGTCAGTGCAGGTAACAACAGTTCCAGCTCTCCTGAGCAGGTGTAAATGGACACATCTCTCATGAAGTCACTATGTGCTTCCCTACGCTTCCATGTTGAGACTGACATAAGGTAGCTGCTCTGACAGCATCGCTAACTGTTCAAAATAGAGCACCAACAGCACAATAAAACCAGCTCATCTGCTTTTAAGTGGGAGTTCAAACCTTTTGGATAGATTAAATCTCACATGTAGATGGCAAGAACGACATTTTTGTTTGAGAATTAAATAACATGAGATGGATTTGAGATGCTCTTAGAACATCAGAAGCATCATAAAATGGCAGTCTCCCCATTTTCTGCACTCTTCTCTAAACAGCACCTAATTTGCACATGGAAACCATTTGTTAGGTTGACCATTCTTCTTGCTTTCTTCAGCTCCCCACAAATCAATACAAATCTTGTCTTTAAGGTAAGGACTGTACTGGACATTCCATCTCATGGAGTGACCAATCCTCCTTTGAGCAAACAGGTTTGAAGAAAACAGGAGCAGATGAAACATAAATCCACAGTTTGTCTTCAGTGCAAAGCCACTGATTTTCACCATTTGTTTTAATTAAGGCTTCACGAAAAAGAAATATATAGTACCATCTTTAATAGCTGAAAATTAGCACACTCCTTTCAGAACAAATGGTCCAGGAGTGACTTTTGTCTCTACCATCAATTGTCTTCCTGAACAAAGTAGTATCTCACTGGTGGCCCTGGCAAGTCTTCCTCTCCATCGGTCTCTGGAGCAAATGACACTGTCAAATCTACATACTTCTTGTCAGCTGATGGTTTCACAAGCTTTTGCATCCTAAAAGGAAATGAAGGACAGTTTGTTAATATACCAGAAGGAGGACTGGTAGAGGGAATTCAGGGCCAGGCTAGGATGAATTTCACTGCCAGCAATGAAGCCCAACATTCTAGAAATCGGATTAAAATGGAGTATAAGCTGCCTTTTAATTTTGATACAAAAGCTGGTCCTCCACCTGAGGTACAGCAAATGGTATTCCACTTTCATGACAGACATAGCCTGTTAGTAAGCTATTACATTGTTCATTAACAAGTGCTCAGTACAACAAAGAAGAGAAGATGGCCAGTTTTGGTTGGGATTCTTCACCAACAGAATTGCTCTTTGGCATCCTACTGAAGCACAAAGCAGATCTAGCTTTCTGTCCAGGATTCTGGTCAATAAGGAGGAGTACAAGTTCTCAGTCTACCAATAATGGCTGTTCTTACTATGTTATTAAGGAGAACCACTCCAGTGCAGACACTTGATAGTCAACCAACCTCACTTTCATTACGTATCTTTGGATGTCTCAAAGTTATTTTCTTGACAACTTGGAGCACTAGTTCATGAGCTCGAATGCTAAGAGGCTGGGGGAATACAGTCCCTCATTTCTATTCCTCACAGGTCACTTACAGAAGGATTTCACTTCTGGCTATGCTTTAGCACGCAGGTCAAAAAGCTGCTTCCCCCAAAATACTCGTTCCCTTGCAAGAACACAAAGCATTATCCTTTTCTTAGCAGAGATACTGAGATCTTTCCCATTCGCATGAGGAAGTTCCAAGGTACAGAGGAAGGCAGATAACTATGTCTCTAAAATTTACTTTTAGGGAGTATGCTACCAGTCGATGCTGTGATTGTGAAATTAAGACAAGAGTCTTGCACTGCTTGTCATATTACAGTGAGAGAAAGATTTAAAAACACACAAGCAAGACCAAAGTTTGCTGTACAAATACCTTATAAAGCTTTTGGGACTGTTTGTAACAGAACACCAAGCTGCTGTAACTACATGGAAAGCTTGAACAGGGTCTCAAGAGTTATAAATCCTGACATTTGTAAGAAGCCAGCTTCACACCTTGTTTTTGACTTCATTACACACACCACTCAAAATGATTTCTACAGCTGTAGGAGAAGGAATATAAACAACTTACCTTGAGATAGGGTATAAATTCACATTTATGTGAATTATTATTAGAATGTGCCAGGCATTCTAAAGGCAGGACCATCCTAGAGGATCTTCTCTCCCTGGAAGTTGGAAGTAGCTTTTCCATAGCATATACTACTTTGCCTGGCACTACCTCCTGGCAGGCAGACCTTCAGAATGGTACTGATGTACTTGCTCTAGCAAAGCCTGTGAACACTTTCCTGCATACAGTTCACAGCTGGTGTGAGGAACAAATTTTGACCTAAAACAGTTCAATCAACATATAAAGCAGAACCAAACCTAGGTGAGATCTGGCTGTTACTTTGCAAAGGCTTATCAATCAAAACTAATGCTCTGTTCTCACACCTTCACAAACTTCCAGTCTTTAGACTCCAATTTCCTGTCAGTAAGTGGCACTGTAAAGCCTTGTGTAAAGCCTTCATTTTTAAAAGGGCTAAAGTGAGCTAGAATCTCAAGGAATTACTATGAGCTGAACAGAATTCCAGAAACTCAGTCTGCAACCAATACATTAACTCCTTCCTAAGTAAGTGTTCCCATTCTTTGAGGTGAGTTACTAATTATCGCTATTAGTTTTTAAGCCAGTTTAAAAGGTTTCCTTAGTCTTGTTCGTCTTGAATCAAGGTACTTTCTTCACTGTCCACCCCTCAAAATACCCAACTTACTGTCAGACTTCTTTGGGTTTCTCATTCTAGCATTCGTCAGTTACAGCAGCATTTTGCAAGTCTCCTGTCCTCGCTACAGAAGTTAATTCACTTTCTCTTTTGTCTTTCCCCCCCCCCCCAAAAAAAAAGAAGAAATTACCTCTTTTCTTTCCCGAATATTAATGACTAGCAACCACTTTGAGAGAAAGCACTACTGTCAGGCACAAGTCTTTATGATACAACCAGTGAACATAATTTGTACATGCAATTGCATCCCTCAATCCATTTTCCAGTTATACTTACGTCAGCTTTAATCTTTTAATATGACCTGGCATCACAGGAACATACAGCATTTTGACTCCCTGTACAACCATAGTTGGTTCAATTCCATATTTCTCCTGGAATTCACAAATTAAACTTATTAGAGGACTAGGACAGCTGCACAATCCAGCAGATACTACTACTGCCAATAGTACAACTAAGTATTCAAGGCCATAAAATCACAACCAGAAAGCTTGCTAATGCATACATATTGACAGAAGTTTTATTAAGATACATTTGAGCCAGTCAAATTAAAAAATCTTAAAACAGGTTTGGACATGTTTACTTAAAGACATTCCCATTGACATAAGTACTTTCTAGAATTACTATGACTCTTGGTAAAACTAAAAAATAAAAGAAAAAGAAAAAACCCAAACCACAACCTAAAACCCCAAACCAACAACCCAGACCAAGAAAATCCTGTCCTCTCACCTTGTATTAAACCATTACAGTGGATAACTTACTCTGACAGCATTTATGAAGTCCAACAGAGTAAAATCCTCTTTCCCATAAACTGTCCACCTGTCCCAGATTGTAAATGACAACCCGTTTCTGTTTTAAAAGAGTAAGGTTTTTGTTACTTTGGAATGCAAACTCAGGCACTTCTTTTAAACGCATATTGAAAAACTGCTTTGTATTCTAGCAACTTGCTCTTTTATCTTTAGCAAAATTCTCTTCCCTCTCTGCTGCCATTTCTCCAGCCCTTTGACCTGACTAAGCACAAGGCACACTAAGAACTCTGAGTAAACACAGTATCTGACAAAGACCTTTGAGTTTTCGGACCTACTGAAAATTATCTCCTGTACTGATTAAGATGAAGAAGTGTGCCTAGTCTAGATGAACATCCTAGACTAGGATTAATAATTCATTCATAACCACACCACACGTCTAACACCTGGATTTTTATAGCCTCACAAACAACAGCTTCCACAGGAAAGAAAACTAAGCCCTTAAAACCACTACTTTTTAAAACAGGACACAAGACGTGCTGCATTTTGAAGACACCAAGTTCTTGAGCAATGCATTATTGGACACCCTTGGCAGTACTTATGTCTTTAGAAATACATAGTAAATGTATAGTAAAGTTTGATTGCAACCACTAAGTGATTCATGATCTTCCAAGTTTAAAGAACAACAACAGCAATGAAGAAACAAAAACAACAACAAAACAAAACAGAAAAATCCCACCAAGAAACAAAACTGGAATATCTATAATGTCTAATTGGGAGTATGACTATGAACTGTGGTTGCATCATAGTTCTGATATGCAAGCACATAAGGCCTTAATCTGGTTATCTGGATTTAATAACTGTACAAACATCACACTTGTAATGGCTCACCAAGTTCTAAGCATTCATTTCCAGGTTTTCAAATACCACACTTCTGCCATTGCCCTTCCTACCTGATTTCTGTTCTTCTTACTTCAGCAGTTTCTGTAAAAACCATTATGGGAATGGCTAAATTCAGAAAACAGTTCTTGTATGCATCAGCTGGGTAGCCACCAACAACTTTGATGAGTTCCAGTGCAACCTACAGTAAATAAGAAGCCCATACTTCCATGAGAGCAAACACAGGTTTCAGGTACTGTATTATCACCTAGTTTAGTCAAGAGACCAGCAACTACAGAGTAAGCTGTTAAAAAGATCAGCCTTTCTGAAATCAGCAGAGTAAATCACATCTGGAAATGCAACCCAATATGTCACAGAAATAGAATCCGTTGCTGCTAGTGGAAATGTTTCAGAAGGAAACATTGCAGAAAAACAAGCCAAAATGCTGATCTTCAACTCCTCTTTCTGGTCTGCAAATCAAAAATAAAACCATCAAGGACTTACCAGATCTAGAACCAAGAGCAATCTTTTCTCTTGGTACAGGAGAAAAAGAAATTGCTGACTTTGAAATAAACCCTTTTCTTTAACGAGGCTGTCAGGGTAGTGTTAATCAATATCCAAACAACAGTGGTTTTAGGCAAGGAACAGTAAGAAAGAAATGTGTATTTTAAGCATTTTACAAAGCATACTGACCAGCCCTGACACTGCAGCAGTAGCTGTTGCAATCGCAGGAATAATCTTTCCAGCAATGCGTTTTGTTTTGAACCGATCTGCTGGTTCAATGTTGTACATCTTGGCTCGCAAGTTTGATGCTGCTGTTATGAAATCCATATGCCCATTACTATCATCATCTTTTTCAAAGGAAATGGGCTTCATTTGCAAATCATCTGTTCATATAAAAAAAAAAACAAACCACAAAACGGAGCAAAAATTATTATTAGAAAACTGAACATGTCCTAAACTTAAGTTATAGGGAACTAGAACCTTAACAAATCTAAAATTTCACATTCTGGATCTTGGTGCCTCACATACAACTTGCTTTCCCCATAGTAGAAGTAGAAATACCCCTATCAATTGTTAAAAGTGAGTTATCAAAGACTTACCAACAGAGCTCCATAATTTTATTTTCCTTGCAACACCAGGAATAGGTTTTGGACAGTCCTAAGGATGTTTCTTATTCAGCTCCATCCTGTGAGAATTCCCTCTGTAAGCTTTGTTTATCTACAACCATTTCACTAGGGACTCAGCATGGGAGACAGAGATCAGGGTTGACACTCCATGGGAAAGTCAGAGCTAAACTAATCTAATCTTTCTCCTCTGTGTTCACAAGCTAAACATGCATGCATGTAGCTGTTGTCTGAAGAAATCTGCATGTGTCCAGGCACAAAAATGGATTCAAGCATCCTCATTTTAACATATCTAGAGGATGCTGAAGAAGATGCTAACAGCCTTCATGATTTGAGATTAATTTCAGATTGATTCCTTTAAATAGTAACTCTCGGCCTTCTCATATCAGAGTCACTTTCAGACATCTGGGATCTAGCCAGCACCCCTTCCCTCCTTAAAAGTTCAGTTCATTGCTGCCTGCTTGCTGTCATCAGGGTTGTGTTTACATGCAAGTATAACACCCTACACTTTCAGGAATCTCAGCAATATAGAAGCACAGGGTAATGTCAAGCACTAAGGACACTTACTTGCATGGCACCTCAGAAAGCTTTCAGAATTACAATTCTTGCAGAATACAAACTACTTTATCCAAAGACCTGAATGTCATCTACTGGCAGTGCAATAGCAAGATGTTACTAAGCTATGAAGCTAGTTTGCACTACTCACTTTCCAGAGCTTCATTGGATAGTATAGACTTCTCCAGCTGGAAAATAGCATTTCTTTCATCCTCACTGCTGACTGGAATATGATCTGGTTTTCTTGCAGTTTCATCAGTCTGTACAACCTGCAAGTGTGTGCAGTGCTTGAGTAAGAAAATACACAAACTTTGTACAACACAAGTGTGAAGTCTACTAGATTTCCTGTCTTCCCCACAGTTATTTCCTCCCCAGTTCAAGGACATAGACTTACAGAAGAAATTCCAGCCAAAGGCCACAAAGATCATTAAGGGACTGGAGCATCTCTCATACAAGGAGAAGCTGAGAGCTGGGTCAGTTCAGCCTGGAAAAGTCTCAGTGGGATCTTATCAATGAATATAAACATCTGATGGAGGGGAAAGTACAGGAGGCAGAGCCAGACTCTTTTCACTGGTGCCCAGTGACAGGACAAGTGGGTATGAGCTTTGTGCATGTTTAAAGTGCATAAAATTCTGTAACAAATATACAAAAATTCTTTAAACAAAAAAAGAACCCAACCAAAACTCTGAGGATGGTTGAACACTGGCAGAGGTAACAGAGAGAACCTCTGAAGTCTCCATCCTCAAAAGTATTCAAAACCCAGTGGGACACAGTCCTTGATTACCTGCTCTAGCTGCCCCTGCGTAAGAAAGGGGACTGGACTAGGTGGTCTCCAGAGGTCCCTTCTAACCTCAACCGGTCTGTGATTCTGAGTCAAAATATCACTTTTCTCACAGTGCAAGCATTCACGAAACAAGTGTTAACACTGGGCAAGAAAATATGAGAACACCCTAGAACATATTCTAATTTTAAATGATGACAAATGCTAGCCACTGCACAGTAGCACTTCAGCTGTTTTAAAGTTAACACTTCAAAAATAAACATAAAAGTAATGACACATCCTTTACAGTACCTAGAAAGAAGTAACAAATAGACACTATCTTTGGATTGCTTTAAAGTTGCTGGGTAAAATGTTACTTCTTTTATTAATATAGCATAAATACAGATAAACTTAAAAAAAGCTTGCAGACTTACAATCACACTCATCCATGGAAAACAATGCTATAACAAATCATTTGCAAAAAGCAACATCCTGCATTTAGCATCTGGTATATAGGCACTTTATCTATATCCAGTTAAAGCAGACCCATATGCCACACTCTTGTTTCCCCAAAACACATTTTAATTTGTGTTTATTTCTCATCAGCATCAATGCAAGACATAGTTGGGAGATGTGGGATATTGCTTGTGGATTTATCTTTTTTCTTTAAACTAAATATCACACTTACTTTGTTTGAAGGTCTGAACTCTGGTACCTTCATAGCTGAAATAATCTTCAAGATAGTTTCCTCTGATAAATCCTGTTATGGTTTAAAAAAAAAAAATACCACAAAAACCAAACAACAAAACAATTTAAATTCACATTAACACAAAAAGGCCCTCACAAGAAGACTTTATATCCAGTAGCATTTCAAAGAATACCAAACCTAAAATATCCCACAAATATTCAACAATGAAACATCATCACTGAAACACCAAGTGACATTCCAGTTGCCACAGTGAACCAGAGTGGTGTGAAGTGCCTAGCACTTGAAAACTGAACAAGCATAAACATGACTTACAGGAAAATCCGATTAGTAAATAAAAGAGGTAACAAGAAACAAGGGATAAGCAACAAACAGGGGCTGTGAATAGTAAGAATAAAGCTCCCAGACCATAGCTAAGACAATTTAAAAATGCCTTTCAGTTATTTTAGTTCATTTACTATATTGCACAGGAAATAGGTCCATCAAAATAAGAATTCCTGAGTTCCCGAGTTCAGTGCTTACTGAAAATACCCAATATATTACCCATTTCTTCTCCAGGTTAACGATTTAAACAAAGACAACTAAATGTAAGCAGCTACTGAACAGCCAGTGCTGAAGGAGAGATTACTTCAAGAATCACTTTAATCAGTTCTTGGAAAGAATTGGCAACTGGACAGTGGGCCAAAACTGAATACATACATCTGAGTTATGTGATAGGAACGCTGTTACAGTACAGATTACCTTTTCTGTAAAAGGAACACAGTACACTGTTGCAAAGAGTTTTGCTGCACTCACAATGAAACCATAGTGCCTAAAGAAAAGAGGAAGATAATTATTTTTGTTGATTTTTTACTTCAGTTGCTCAAAGGTTTGCAATCATATTCAAAGAGGTCTTAAAAACACACACAAAGAAACAGAATTTCCACCCTTCAGCCTTCACAGTACAAAACAGATGACAGGTTTTGAGGGACTTGGAAGTCATCCTCAAAACAAAGCAAATTTTTATGAGTGAAGAGTTATTTAAAGAAAACCATATTTCCTTAACCTCTGCAGTCAAGAAAACAAACATTCACATGACACCAATATGATAATATAAAGTTTCACCTTAGCAATACTAATTAGAAATAAAAATTTGATATTTGCCATGATCTCAGTTTTCACTCAAACTAAAAATGGTGATATGGTTTCTCAAAGCAGGTGTAGACATTCAGCAGAAAAAGGTTTTTCAGTCCTTCAATTGCATAATTTATTTTAAATTATCTGTAATACCCAAGCCATCTAGATCAGACCCAAATTATGAAGAAGAAAAGGGGTCCCTCCACTAGGTCTTTTGAGGCAGTCAATTTAATTTGGCACATCTTCCATTTCATGAGGCAGGCTGATGGGGGCAGGGGCATATGACAGCAACAACTCAGTAATTTTGTAGTTACACAATAAATGAAATGGGTTGTTCTAAGCCATTAAATGGCTTAGAACTTGTCAGAACTTCCCACAGCACATTCCAATCCCATGTCAGTGAAAGTTAAATTACCTGCAGTGAAAGCATGAGGCAGCTCACCAAATCTGCCACAGTGTTAAGACTACACACTAGTACCTATCAAGTAGCAGTCTAGCTTCTAGTGCTATAAAGCCACTGCCTTGGACTTTCTGCTGTAGGGCGAGTTTTATAGGATGATATAGAACACATCAGTGGTAGTACCATACTTACAAAGGATCATTAAATTCAAACTTCACTGGGAAAGGTGGCCTCTTTGGTGACTGCCAAAATAAACCTAATAGGAAGACAGACTAAGATGAAATCCTAAGGGTAATCAGACACAGCAACACACGACGTATGTGAATTCATAACAGGCACAAAGGGGCATATGTACTTACTTCCATCTTTTAATCGTGTATCAAGGGGAAATGAATGAAGGAGCTGAAGAGCCTAGAGGAAAAGACAGAGTACATTTAGTAATTTGTCATACACAGTTTGAAATTACCATGCTGTAGGACACCTGTATCAAGATGGAGAGCTTAAACACACAATTACTGCTAGACAGAGTGATTTGCCTATTCATTCACAGGCCAAAGATGATAGTGTGACCACATCCATCCAAAGACCAAGCAAAACACTTACTCCAATGAGCAAAGCATTCCCCCCACTCTGTGGTCACTTTAGGATTCTTGCATATGATTCACAATTGGGAATGCAATGTTTTCTCAATGTGACAACTACCAGCAGGGCGATATATGCACAGATTTGTATGTTCATTAACACAAAGCATCATGATCACATCATTCCTACAAAATTATACACACATACACTTCAAGCAACATTGTGGACCAGATTCTCAGAATGACTGACTCTTATTTCAGCCAACCTTCCTGTGACATCGACAAGTTTTCCAAGATCCCCATCAGTCTAGTGCCACCTCACTTCCAGGTCTTACCTACCTTATGGCTAAAATACTTCTCAAACTTTACTCTTGCTAGTTCTACACATTGAGTCCAACTTCGGGGTCTTCTACTGAGTGTTTTAATAACATGAAAACAGCCTTCTAAGCTCTCCCCTGATTTTATTCTCTAAAGAAGGAAATACAAAAATGTTAAAACACACAAGATTCCTCCCAGTCCAGTCAAACAGTAAATATGTTTTTAGGAATTTACAGCAAAAGGAAAGAGACGTTACTTTGTGAAATACTACCCTTTATGTGATCTCTCCACTGGGTTTTTCCTTAGGTACTGTGGTCTACTTATTTCTACCCAGCCCTACAGACAGTAGGCCATTAGAGACTCACAAAAGATAGATATTAAACAATTCAGTCTAATTTATTACATATTTGAATTCAGTGGAAACTAAGTGTTCCCTTCATTTTTCCCAGCTGGTTCCACATCAGTGTGACATCTACTATACACTCACCAGAAGTACCTCAGTATTTCTGGTATTTCTATATTGTATAGAGAGCACACATGAGCTAGGGAAGGAGCCCATGCACGAGAGACTTTGGCTCTTAATTATGAGACATGCCAGAAATACTGTTCAACTAATGACTTGGCCAAAGAAGGCTTCAGGTTCTTTTTAATAAAATCAGAAAATAATTCTAATCTCACTGAACTTAAATAGAATCAAAATCCATACAGCTTCAGTTTAAACCCTGTATTTTAGCCTGGCAATGTTCCCCTACCTGTAAAACTTCTTCTGCAGATGCATAGGTTTGCCAGAATTTGTTAAACAATGAAGGCTTGTGAGAAAATGAACTTTCAAACTAGAAAATAAAAAGAACAAATACGGCATTTTTGAAGAAGTGTAACATATCCCCCATGCTTCCAAATACACAGTAAGTTATGCTCAATGCCAGTAAGATTATTCCCTTACCTTATCTCTTGCCCACTGTATCGTATGCTCAATGGCAGCTGGGAAAGACTTCAAGGTGCAAAAAGGTATTTCCTCTTCCGGTGGATCCCGCTGTAATTAAGTAAAGTTGTGTGTAAATACAGATTTATTCAAGTTTACTGCTAATAATAGCACCAAGAATTTTTAGACTACTTAAAACTCAAACTGTTATAAAATACAAGGTGGCATATTTATGCTTAGAACAAAATTTGTTTATGAACACTAACATCATTTCTTATTTATGAAGAACAGTTTAACTCAACACTGGAAAGCAAAATTGAACCCTGAAACACAAACAACAGAAGAAGTCAGCAGCCAGCATTTCCAGGATGTGCAGTCAGCATTCACACAGGCTCTCACTCTTTCACTCAAGGCCAGAAAGACTTCTTTTGTTGTGAACCCTATCAGGACCATTAGGACACTCGAAATCCTGTCTCTGTGTCCAAGTACACCATTTTGTGGTGTCCTCAACCAGTGAATTACTACCTTATAAAAGCAGTTTCGTAAGAACTTACACAGGATACTGCAAGAGTTTGAAGGTTCATTATTGGCCTACGTGTAATCATCAGCTAGGTAGCAAACACTGCTCAAATTTTATTTCCTCTGAGCTTTTCTTCAGAAACCAAGGAAGTAATTATTTCCTAATAGTACTGCTCTTCAGCAGCTCACATAGGCCACTTATTTTAGAAACATACATGAATGATTAAAGAATCAGAGGGCATTATCAGACTAGCTACAGAAGAGAAGTAATGATCTTAAAACACTTACATGACTATTATAGGACTCTGTCAGATGTGGCACAATAACTTCTGTGTGTCCTTTCGTTCCCATAGTTCCAGAGTCTATAAGAGGACGCAGGTTTGCTACACAACGACTGACATGGAAAGACAGAAGAGAGTGTAATCACTACATTGCTGCCTTGCAGACATTACCAGAGTGTAATCACAGAATTGACTTTAGACACTTTCAGAAAAGTGAAAAGCTTATACCAAACTCAGGATAAGAGATTAAATGTTTATAAATAAAGAAAAATAAGGTATTAACTAAGAAGAGCTATTTCAAGTTAGATCAAGATACTGTAAACCTGAGCCTACCTGGATTAGGAGCATTAGTAATTCTTTCTAAATGTAAACACCCCTACTTATAAATTTAAATACACATTCTTACACAAAAAATAATTCAACCTTAAGACTGCCACAGTATTCTCCCCTCCCTCATCAGACCTTGACAGTTATTCATGTCCAAGAACTCACTCCGAAACTCTGCCGTGTGAACCATATGAGCCACACAACAGCAGAGCTGGTTTCCACCACAAGTATAAATCCCATCCTCCCCCCAGCCAGCATCCCTATAAAGGAGCAAGATAAATCTGAGCAATTCAGATCTTATAAACAATAGCAATCAAGAATATTAATGGAAAAGAAGAGTTCCCGTAAGAACGTGAAAAGCAGTCCTCGCTTCCTTTCCACAACCTACCTATCAATGTATCTCCTTGCCTCAATGTTATCCAAAGCAGTCACAATCACATCTTGTTTGGTATAGAATTCATCACTGTATGTGCTCTCAGTGGCTGGACAAACTTTATTAATATATGAGTCAATCTTTAAGTAAGGATTGATGTTCAGAGTTGCTTCTGCTGCAGTATAGCTTTTAGGTTTCTGAAAGTATAAATACATATATCCATCAATGATATTCAGATAAGAAATATCTGGGACAGAATTATCAATTTCATTTGCTGATCAGAAAACAATTCACTGACAGAAATGCTAGTATGCAAAACATACAATGAAGGAAATTCTTTAATCATGTACCTCCCTCACTAATAAATATCGTATTCATCTAGTTTTATTTTAGTTTTATTTGAAGTAGTGCAGCAGAAATGTATTGAGTAACTGAAACTGATGCCACGTGCTGCCTCTCATGCTCCCAAAATGCCATAAGATAGGACCAGCTCATGGTTGTCAAGAGGATAAGCCCATTAGTTATTATATTAGTTATTAGTTATTATTAGTTAATGTGGAATGCAAAGCATTCCACACAAAGCCAATTTCAGAAGCTAAACTGAAATAGAGTTCTTAACCTACTTGACATTTCTAGCCATACTACCTTCAATTATCTAGGGATCAGCACTTAGAACAGCAGAACTCAAGACTGTGGCTTCTGAAAGCTTGAAGAGTTCACCTTCCATTTATCTACTCATTCAAAATGTAATCCATTCCCAGATTTGCTAGACATAAACAGGAGGTGGAAAATTCAGCTCCTGGATTTTGGGCAGCAGAGTTCCTTTTCCCCACTGCTCTCAGGATCTAAGACACCTGTTTTATTTTGTGTTGTGTTTGTAAGTACATGGATATTTTCTCTCTGCTTCTACAGAATTAACAGTTTCTGAATCACACATTTACTGAATGTATGTTTTTTTTTCCAAGTTATTTGCCAGTTTAATGAAGACTGAAGTCAGAAAATAGCAACTTCAGTCAAGTTCCATTAACAGTAGCCCTGCTATTAAGAACACTTCTGCCAGTGCTGTCTACTGTTTGCTGTTCTATTCTCCCCCAGTTTCAGTGGTATAGAGTAAAGCGTTTTTGGCATATTAACCCATAGCAGCATCTTACGCAACACAGTATTCTTTATCCAGTTCTCAAGTTTCAGAGATTTCATTAGTCAAAAGTATGAGTACAAATTAAGATCCGATCAGCCAATTTTACTCAATGGATACTAGTGATAAGTGGGATGCCAACGTAGTTCTAGGCATTGTTTTAAAATATACTGGATTTCATTACAGTTTTTATCTCTTTCCTGGACAAAGGTACATACACTCACAAGTTCAGCTCTCTGTCAGGACACAGGATGGGGAAACAGAACAACAGTCCAGGAAGTTTACTGAACAAGAAAGCCTACCTGTATGTGATGAGGTCGAAAAAGAAACTGCCTGTTCAGGTTGGATTTCTCTATCAAGTCTGGATCTGTAATTGTAACCTAAGTCAGAAGGGGTAAAAGCAACAACTGAAGTTACAATTAAAACATAGCACTGAGCAATAATCCTGATGAAAGCTCTGCAGAAACCTGTCAAAGCAAAGCAATACTGTTGGCATCCACTATGGCTAACAGCTTTGCCTATACTGATGGATTAAATTTCATTTTAATATCAAAATACAGCAAGACTGCGCAAAGTGTGTTCTGCTTCTAATTAACTGCACACTACTTCCACTCCATGCTGAGGCCATTTTAGTCTCTGCCTAGATATTAGCCTGAAGTAAAACTGAGATTTTCAGCATTTTTGAGTAGTCTAATTATTTAACTATTCCTTGTCATGTTACTTTTTAATAAGCAAAGTGAGGTTGCAGGTGACTTACCAATCCTTTGTCTTGCCCAGTACCAACACCAAGGAGTGCAAAGTTTTTTAGCATTTCACAGCCTATTGCTCCACAGCCAACCTAAGGAAAACATTTAGAGTCAGAAACATAAGTGAACACCATGAAGACAAGTATAATAGACAAGTCACATTATAATTTTGTAGCATTTATTCTGCAGCAGCACACATCATGAGGGCTGCTTTCATTATTTGGAAGACAGTGGACATTAGCTGTATCAACAAAGCATTTGAAAAGTCTAAGTGTCAGTCATACTCACCAAGAAAATATTCAAATCATGCAGCTTCTGGCACAGAGAGTCTCCAATACAAGCTCTCAAGGCATCATACCTATCTCCCCTATGCAGGTATAGGAGACATAAATAGAAAACTACTAAGTTGCCATTTATCACCATTTATCATCATTGATGCCAGACTGCAGTTTGACATGAACTAAGAAAATCAGAGTGAGTCCCCTATATTTCCTACTCCTCCCATACTCAAACAGGACACACATTCTGAACCCCAAACCTGTCCCTCCAGCAAACAGTACTGAACTAAGACCTCTTCTATGCCTGCTTGAGACTCAGATCTGAACAGTACATAAAACAGCAGACTGTAGGTATATTTACCGTGGGAGAAATTCTTCAGATCCCATCTTTTCTAGAGGTGCTACTATGTCTAACATATCTATATACAGCTGTAAAACATAAAAGAAAATGACTCAGTAAAAACCTGTGAAAGTCATTCATGGTATTTTCATTTGAAAACCAAAGTAAGTATTTTCAATGTACAACAGAGTCTAGAAATTTAGAAGCATTAAGTTTTTACTGTTAGTGGAAGACTAGACAGCATTCAGTTCCTAATTTACAATTTTAGTGGACAGGAAAAAGCACCTGGTCAGAGAGGGGAAAAAAGCTCACTGAATCGTAAGCCGCAAGCTTTTGACTTCCGACAGGCATGTCACACCTCCAAATTAGACTAAGAAGCTTTTTAATCTAACTTTATTCTGACACTTATTCTGAGAGTCTGAAAGCACTGCTCATATGTACAGTAGCTTAAGCTGGCATCTGGACTACCTCACACCTTTACAGTCACGCACTGGTAGGCCCGTGCTTTCCTTGCTTGTGAGGGAAAAAAAGAATGTGATGTCTGAATCCCAAATACAAAAACTTAAGCAAAACTGGCTGCACATTTATTGTAGACACAACAGCATTATATTTTTTCCTAAATTCAGTCTCAAGTCTCTCCTCTCCACCCCCCTACCCCATTATTGAAGTTGTTCAGGCTACTCTGATCATACAGCATATATGTGTATGATCAACCATACATTTATAACAACACTGTCAAAAGAAAGATCCAAAACCAAAGACAGCCTTACCCACTGCTGCAATGGAGAAAATTTTCCTGTTACTGCTTTCAAGACTTCCTGGCTTGCAACACCACCTACTGCTGCAGCCAGAGGAGCTAGAAATCCCTGAGCAGTCCTAGACAGCCATTTCACTACATCTCCATTCACCTGAGGCTGAAAAGTAAGACATAGCAACAACAGATTTATCCCCTCAATTGAGCAAGTCAGTGCTTGACAGCTTCATAGATTATTCTGTTCTCCAGTATAAGACAGATAAATTCTTTCACTAGCAAAAATGTTTCCAGCCAAGACAGATCCACTGTATACCATGTACTTCCAATATGCATTTATCTAAACACTGGCTTCACATAGCCACAGGATTCACCCTTCATGTCAGCTGAACATTTATCTGAATCCATGTTGAAACATGGATTCTGTATCCACACTTGGCCTTCAGAAAGCCAGCTGATCCATCTAAAGATGGATACAAAGTTCAGAACAATAACCAACAAATAAAGCATGGCCTTAGGCAAGTAAACAAGTGCATCAAAAACTAGTCATAATGACTACAGTTCCTTACTTACTTTGTTTTCCAGTGTTTCACTTATAGACATGGCTATTTTCAGCATTTCCTCAGCATCTTGGAGGCATCTGGACACAAGGGTAGAAACAATAATGACCATTTAACCATTCCAGAGTCCTTCTAGAAACACAATGGCAAAAAAAGGCACTGGATACAGTAGGAAGAGTTTGGAAATTTATATTGGCTTTAACAGTGAGCATTAAATATGCACTTCTGAAGGTTACAGTTAGCTCAAGAACAGGAGTCTCAATGGAGAAGCCCATGTGCAAGTCCAGTCTTAAGATTTATACTTTTTAAGTAATTTTGTCTCGCTGAACTCAATTATGTGCATTAAGAAATACATCTGAAAAAAACATACTGAAAATAAAAAATACTTCACACCTTCTGGAGTATTTTTTAAATCCGTAAGATACAGAATAAGTCACGAAACATTGAAACAACTTTGCCATATTAACCCCTCAATGTGAAAAAGCTGAAACAGAGCAGGACTTCCTCCGAAAGCATTTTCTGTCTATTTAGACCCAGAAAGTGCCACTGCTATATTGGGAAAGTCCTGTTACAAACCAGACATGCATTAGGTAACATTTTTCATCTAGATTTCAACTTTTCACTTCTATGCCTTTGATTAAGTACCAGACAGACAAGGTACCCTGCTGCACTAAAGGTACCCATAACTACACTAAATGGAGAGATCTCCCTGATTCAAGCCTTAGCAGAGACAAGATTGCTGCATTACCCAATATTTGGTCCACGACCAAAGCTCTCCTGAAAGTGGTTCAAGGCAAGCATGGCAACATGGATCTGCAAAGGTGCCTGTTAAGACAACAACAGCTGCAAAAACTGAAGGAAACAAAAGCAACTATTTGAACTCTTCTGTTACCATTTCATTTCCTTATCTCTTAACCATACCACTCAAAAACCAAAAATTAAATAACATTAAATATTTATTTTGAAACACCTTTCACTCATGATTTTACAAACTGAGATTATGAATTATTACTGAGTCATAATGCAATGCACTTCATACACATTCAGCACTCAAACTAAATCCATCTAAAGAGTTCCCAAAAGAATTTAGTGCTGCAATTGAAAAATGCAGTAATCTTCTTCTAACTAGACCCCAATATGCATTGCATTTTGCCAAACATCAGTATCAAAACCCACCATCAAGAGTCAAAAAGTAGAAAATCTGAAAAGGCAAGTGAGACCTTACATTACCCCCAAAAAAAGCCTCCAAAATATTATTAGATCAACATTTTTTTAGTTTAAGATTTTAATGAGCCCAAGACCTTGCATGTCCCTAACACTTAACTAAAACGGTGCTAGAGGTAAATACTGCTAGATTCCAATCAGATTTTAAATATAACTCTGAATCATTTTTTCAAAGGTAAAAGAAAATATTCTTACGCTTTAAACTGCAGTTTCTAACCAACCTATGACCATCTTTTTATGATTATCACAGCTTTGATGCCAGTGTGATTTTTATCAACCAAACAACATTGTGTCACTTGCAAAATTTACACTCCCTTGAATGAGAGACTTATCAAAAACGGAGATTTTAAACAGCAGAGGTGGCTGAGCCATGCATTTCAATATGTTGGTGCAAATCATGGATAACAAACCTCTACATTGATCTAAACTATAATGTATATTCTGTGTGACTACACAAACTGATATCTCACTCATATTTAACTACTACAGAACAGAGCTAGGAAATAATATTGTTCTATACATAAAGCTGCATATTACATTCCATGTAGTTTTAACAATAAAGCACTTACACCCAAATCCCCACATGCTAATTACCTCAGGCTTGCTAAAATCTGCAACAAGGCATAATGGATTTGTTATCTGCTTCTCCAACCGTTCCTGGAAAAACAGAATTCATGATAACAAACCCACTTAAGGATACAACAGTCAGTGCTACCTGACAAATCAATACTCCTCCTGGAAAGACTACAGACCAAATATCCTTTCTTACTAGCATTGCTCTTACTCTCTCCATTATTAATGTCACCAAAGCTGCATAAAATAAACACCTACTGCAAGTTTTGCAAAACAAAAATTGTTAAAGAGATGTTTCACATCCTAGTGGCAAGACCCATTTCAAACTGCTCTGAAGTCAACTACCAGAGATTTTTTAGGCAATAAAAACGTGGATGTGTGCTTGCAGAACTTCCCCACTCAGGAAGAACAAGAAGCAGCAGCTACTGCTCCACAGAGACAAGATACTGAGCTATGCATTCTCAGATCAGAAGCAGCTGGTCCTCACTCCCAGCTTTTTAGAAGCATGTTTGAGGGCTGCCAGGATCTACTTTCTGCAGGCCCAAGAAGGCACACAGCACCATGTAGCTTGCAACCCATCTTATACAAACTCATCTGTCTCTTCTTCTCAGAACGCCACCAAGAAATCCCATATTTGGAGTCCCCAGAAGTACAACAATAGGCTGTCCATGACTTTCTTTTCCCTCTCTACACTGGCAGATAATTGAAGTATTTCCTGTTCTCTAGGGTTTAGTAAAACAGTACCACTATTCTTATCCAGTAAGATTAATGTAAACCCAAATCAGGGTAACTAAATCATGTATCTGCTGAGCTCTGCTTCCAGTACTCATACCAGTAACACTCAAGATCCTGGTTATCTCAAGCACACACTTACAAAGTAAAACATCTTGGGTGTCTTCACTTGGACAGCTATGCCTCCGTGTAAGTAAGGCTCCATATCTGACGTATCACCAATGCTGAAGGAATAAGGTGACACCACTGAAAAGAGAATAAAATAAACAGTGACTGACAATTAGAAGTGTCATTGGATGCTACAATTCTGTATACAATAAATTGTGTTTTTTCCAGTGCTTTTTTTGCTGTAATTTTGTAGTGTGCAACCCTGCTTTGAAAGCATAAACACAGCTGATCCTCCTAACAGGATTGTCTCTCCTTGCCAGCTTCTGGACTAAAGTATTAGTCTCACATGATCCGTTATGAAATAAGCTTTTTGAAGTGGCAGCAGATACAACGAGAATTCTGATGACCACAGCTCTGTAACAAAAATTAAATCACTCTTAGTTTTGTTTAGACTGTGCACAGCAGAGTCCACTACACTGCTCAGACTAGGACTGCAACCCCGTGACTGAAACAACAGGCAAACAAGAAGGGCAGCTGAAGCATTTAAGTCAAAACCCTTCTCTTATACCATCTGGAGCATCATTCAGATCAAGCAAGAAGACACAAAAATTGTTAACACATGGAAAACTGAAACCAAAAGCAGAGCTGTGTTTAGAGGAAAAGAGGAAGAACTGAACACAGCATCAGCAATAGCAAAACAAAAGAGTCTGGAGAAAACAGACTCAACCATGTTCAAGGGTACTGTTTTTGTCTCAGACCACAAAATAACCCCCACCCACCTGCTCTCTCTTCTGCTTGAGACAAACAGGCATTCAGATCTGGGAACTGAGCAATTACCCAGCATCCACAAGGAAGCAAGTACTATGCCTTGAGACATGCATAATGCAGACCAAAGCAGGGTAAATACAAATCATAAGAATCACTTCAAAAGCATGCTTAGAAACAGATGTCAGGGCATCCCTGAATGCTTACATTGTCACCCAAAAAACAAGGCAAACTGTGACACACAAAGCGGTGTTAATTTAGGCCAAAACCATGATAAAAGTACAGGCATTATGGGACCCTCCAAAAAACAAAAGAGTTTCATGAGCAAACTAATGACAGTAGCTTCAGAGACTGCCAACCAGTTTTCACTAGCTGAGAGTTTCCACTGCCACTTAAGCAGCAAGATGACTTTGAAAGACTTTAATAAATGGAAATGGAGTCAAGACAACACTAGGAAGACCTCTGCACCAAAAAGCAGATTTTTCTGTGCAAGCTCACTGGAGGTCTGCACTCCTCTGGCTACAGTAACTTATATTACAGCAAGCTAAAACAGACCAAAAAATAAATACCTTGCAAAGGAGTCAGCAACATTTTACCTGTTATTTGGTGTGTGGATCCATTTAAGCATGACATTCCATTTACTTCCCGAAAGGTTAAGAACTGCCCTGTTTCAAGCATGTGTGGATGATTTTCAAGGCAAGTGACAATACCAGGATTTGACTAAAAGTGAAAATGGCAAAGTTAGCAATGAGGAAAGTGTCTTGTGTAAAGAAGTCATGCTTTATTGTAGACACATAGCTTTTCACCTATTGAAACTGCAGCCTCTAATACTTTTAGCACATTAGTTCTGTCATAACAAAGGAGTTACCTATGATAACTTTTTCAGTCCTTTTGGTCACAGAGCCAATAACAAGTCATTATAAAGAAAAAAAATAAAGCAGCACAGTGACTTCTACCCCTTACTTGCGTTATATTTGAAATGAAGATCTCCTTTGGCTCCTCTCCCGTTGTGTCCAGCACTTCAAATTCATCACCGAAGTCACAAAACAAACGTGAACACACTCCATATACATCTGCACTGATGAACTACAAGAGAAAGTAAAACCCATGAGTATCCCTAAAGCAGCACAAGCCAAAAGACCGACCTCTCTCATTCAACCTTGTCCAAGGCTAGCAGTTTACCTTCTATCATGCAAACCTGTCAGGTGCACCCAGGCCACTGACTACATGGCACAGCTTTCATGACAGACTTTGAACCTGCATGAGCATTTCTGAACCCCTACACAAAACCCAAGAATCGTACAGTGAAATACTGCCATTTCTACCACTGTTACATTTGGTCTTAGCATGTTCTTTCAGAATTATTATAAGTAAACAGTGAAAACTATTTCTTCATAGAAATTTTCTGTTGTTGTTAAGAACCAAACTATGGTTACCCAGGCTGGTACCCAGATAATACCAGATATATGTACAAAGTATGAGTATTGTACTCCCACAACTCATACTGCTTGATCAACATGCTATCTGCATAGAACTATACACCTCATAACCAGCTTTCCCCATTTCTGGATAGAACATGCTGGAGACTCAGAATGCTCACTGTACAGATTATTCATGTTTTTACTTCTATTACCTTAATAGGTGGCTGTTGAGCATGACAGAAGTCATTAATCTTTTTCTGCAGCAGCAGGCTTACTTCAGTCAATATGACACACTGCGAAGAAGAACAGAAATATATCTAAGACACCAAAAGAAATCAACATCTTCAGGCTATGAAAAAAAGCAGTACTAACAGTAAATTGGTCAGGTGTTCTGATTCCTTTCCCACACACATAACAGAGAAAGCAGTCTTGAGTCAGTTTTCTCATTACACATTAAAATAGATGGTTACTGCTCCACAAGTTCTGGAAACCAGATAAGCAAGAGCAAGAACAGCAAATTCTCACTTTCTTTCTACTGCAGCTATGAAACTCAAAACCTGATTAGAACAGTCATGAGAACAGTTACAGGTAATCTCAGGGAGAATGCAGATCTTGAATTTTAAGACTAAACTTAGCAAAACAAACACAAATAATACTCATCAGTGCACACCGAGAAGTCTGAACAAGCTTCACATACTGATGCTCATCAAACTGCAGACATACAATTTCTGCAAGCATTCTTTTAAAGTTTAGGATAGTATTGGGTTACAAAGCATGTGCACTGCATCCCACTCAGTTATACATGGCTTATTAAAGCTGGGACATTCAGAAACTTGGTGAGCTTGGGTATAACCAAAAGCCACACAGTAAAAGCTTCCAGCTCAGACTGAGCCATGCACACCAGCATGAGACAGCTGACTGAACAATTGAAAACACCATCATTCCAGCACAGAGGAGCTCACATTTCATAGATACATGCATGCATAAATATCTTTCTAATTATATAGCCTGAGTTTCTACCACCTGGAATACAGCACACAACATATATGCAGAATATCTGTACTCTGTAGCTGCAAAAAAAGTCACAATTTCACTTTCTAACAACAACAAAAATTGTATGGCAGTATCTATTAGCTATTTACTGTCATAATAAATTCCACAGTAAGTAGCATAAGAAAGTGCTAGGAACACAAACACACTGTTTCAGCCTTGAAGAAACAAGCATGGCAATTTCCTTAGTCCAAATATGAGATCTGCTTCTTTCTTTACATCATTTTAAAATATACTTTGGTTAATTTTCATTTTATTATATTAAAAAAAATAAATCTAAGCTGTTTGCTGTGAGAAAAATACCACATACAACAGCCTTAAGAGCGACATACCTGGTACTGCTTTAGAAAAGACAGATCTGTGGTTTCATCTAGTGGCACAACTGATGCTGCTACATGGACATACGGATTGAGTTCTGCAATGCGATGAAGTGTAGCCTCAGCCCTGAAAGAACAGCAACTTTCAAGATTTTTCATGCATCTACAAAATTGTATTTTCAATACAGAATTTCATACCAGACATGCCCTAGGAGAGCCCCTCAGGAGGTCTCCTAGCAACAATCACTGACTCATTTATTCATACTTCAGTTCCTAGAAGGTTTGAGGAAAAAAACTCTGTCCAATGTATCACAGGTCTCATGATCACGTGGTATCATGACTGTTTTCTAGTCTCACCCAGATGGCTGAGGAAGCCTGAAGAAGAAATCCACCCTGGCCCCTACTATTAAAGTTACATTACAAATTCCAAACTTCAAGAAGTGAGATATTTGACTAAGAACTCCAGTCCTAAATTAGACTTCCCCTAATACCCACCCGGGCACTGTAGTCAAAGCCAGTAACTCCAGAGAAAGGATGTAAGAAGTATTTGTATATGTATCAGCAGTATATGTATCAGCAGCTCCTAGACAATGAACTGTTATTTTTGTGGCCGATTAAACTGTTACTCCTAGTCAAGTTCAGTCTTCCCTCACTCCAAAGACTTTACCAACCTGCTCCTTTGACTGCTAATATCATCTTCATGGATGAAGAAGTTGATCCCCAAATCCCATTTTGTGCACTGCTTGGTGTCATGAACTGTAAGAGCCTATGAAAGTTTAGCAAAAAGCATTTACTGGAAGAAGTGTACATGGTCATAGCACCCAAAAGGATGGATTAAGCCCCACATAAAATGCTGGAGGACTAGCACCACAGAAGATTTAGTTGTTCCATGTATACAAGCTCCTCCAACCTCTTTTCCAAGAAAGCTTACTGTTTGAGAGAAACACACTGCAACACGCATTTCACTAAGCATTCTCCTCCCAGCCAGCAGTGATGACAACATTTAAATAATAAGGATGATTTCTGCCACACTGTGATTAAAGGGCGATCTGTAAATTAATGGATTCCCAAAATTATAAACAAGATTTCTTTTTCTTCTCAATTGGAAGAGTTTTAAAATGCTTTTCTCTAATAAAATTAATACCAGCAGCACAAAAGCAATTGTTGGATTAAAACGTCCAACCATTCTAATGTCTACACAAAAGGATTCTGGTGGATGACAAAATAGGATAACATTTTGAATAGTTTGGCTTTCGAGTTTAAAGCAATCCATTTAGGAGAGGCCATTTTATACAAAAGGATTCAACGTCTGATCAGCAGCTGACTAAAATATTACATGAGGCATTTCAGAGTGCAGTGGACATCACTGTGAGAGTCTGACTGTACCACCTGAGCATCCAGATTATTTAAAATTTTCACTCCCAGGTCCTCAAATGCTTTGCAATCCCTCTACTGAAAGTCAGTTTCAGAAATTTAAGATTAGCTGCATAGTAGTGTTGTCCCTTTTTCTCCTGCTCACCCAAGAATACCCAATGACAGAACTGTTTTACATACCTTTACTCCAGCCAGAATTATATTTTTGGCTGAAAAAAACAAAACAAAACAGAGAGATGGACTGTTGCAGACATCTTGCATATCTCTAATTGAACAGTTACGTGGGTAGACAATAACAGTATGCCGTTGCTAAGAACTTCACATCTTAAAGGTTTTTTCTCTTTTACATTCAGCTTACGCATTCTACAGCACCATTGAAAGCAGAATAGCACAACCAATGTTAAAATGTCTCTCTACATTTGTCATTTGTCAGCTGCTCATCCCACAGGCATGATTACAGAGACACCAATGGCAATAAACTGGAAAATTCCGTGACTCTCCTCTGGCATCTGGTGCAGAGTACCATTAAAACCAACTGAAGTGTAATAAGCCATGTAAGAACCAGCCAAGACAAGTCTTGCTCACAAAAAGTAACGGAAATTGTTAAGTAGTCTCTTGCACTGGGGCAGTTATGTATTTTTCACCAAACTGCATCTGTTGTCCTACCTTCCACCCCACAGTTCCCATCTGGAATATTGTGTCCAGTTCTGGGCCCCTCAGTTCAAAAACAGTGCTGGAGAGAGGAAATGATTAAGGGAGTTCTCCCTTATGAGGAAAGACTGAGGGAGCTGGGTCTTTATAGTCTCTTAAATATATAAAGCACTGGGGCAGTTATAGGACAAGGGGTATTTTTCCACTCTTGACCAAACTGCATCTGTTGTCCTACCTTCCACCCCACAGTTCCTACATTCGGTTATAGCTGCTTTTGTGTTACAGTCACTGATGCTGATGTCAAAAGGAATAAGTTGGATTATCCGCCCTCAACCCTCACTCAATAAACACAATTTTGTGTAAAGCAATCTGGCCCTTTGAAGCACATTTTAAAGTAAAAAGTGAAATTATATTCTAGTAAAAAGTTTCCTAGAGAAAACACATATAAATTCACTCAGATACTTCAGACATGCTTATTAAATCTATAATAAGCTTTATAAGTATTTTGGGACAGTATGTTTACATATACATGTGAATGCTTAAATAAATGTTACCTAACTTACCAATCTCCACACCAAGGCCACCTATACCGCTCAGGAATACATGGGACTGAGCCATCTTCTGCATTGCCGTGTCTCCAAGAACATACCTCTGGCGACTATAGCAAAGATGAATTCAGATCAAAGCAAGATACAAATAAGTCAAGAGCACATGAAAGCAAGTCAAGAATCCCCAGTCATTTCCAAAAAACGTTCAAGTATTTTCAGTTATTCTATCATCCCAGTTAGTTTCTAATCCACCACACCAATTTCTGCAGATGTGTGTCACTAGTGACATGTGCACGGTTCTATTTACCAGTCCTCTGTTCAACAAGCCACTGAGGAGGTAACTTTTTGTGTATTTGAACTGTGTAGTGCTTTAGGAAATAAATGCATATCAATTGTAATATTTGCATGCACAATTCAAATAGTGAAATGCATGTAGCACAGACCTTTTCAGTGTGAGGTGTTAAGAGAAATTCTTTTAAATCCATGTAAAGACTTTTTCAGGATAGTAGGTTTTTGGAATTAACTACTGAAGACATAAGCAAGCCAAAGAACTTCTTTATCAGAAATTTTCAAACCAGAGAGTGCAGCAGCTTTTTGAGTCAGAACCTGAGCTCTGGAACCTATACACTCACCCATACAATCAAACTTAAACCATTCTAAATACTGCCTTTCTCACCAAGGAATAGCATGACTTTCATAAGACAAATGCCAAAATGTAAAATGACACATATAACACATTAAGCTTAATTAAAAACAAGCCTCGTTTGTTCAGCATGTAAGTATTTGGTTTTTAAATTTATGTGTGTGTATATATATATATATATATTTTAATAATAAAGTAAAAGCTTTTCATCCACAACGTTATCCTAGGGATACCATTTGTTCCAATACAGGGTCTCTGAACTATTGCCATGCCAAATGATTTCAAGCCACTCCCAGCTAACAAATTAAAACAACAGTAATAATAAGAAAATAAATAGAAAATAAATGTGGGGTTTTTTTCAAATCTACCAAAAAAACCCAAACCAAACAAACACCAAACCAACACCAAAAAACCCAGTAGGTTGAAGTTTGGAGGATAAGAGAGATACTGATGACATTTCATGAGGACAGAGAAGTATGTTAAAGACTGAGGAATAAATGAAATTACGAAGGAGCTAAATTACATAACGTACAAAAAGAAGGCAGCAAAAGACAAGGAACAAGAGAGGAATATCTACCTTGTCAAAGGGGAAACAAGCTGAATACATAAAGAAAATCCCTATTACAAACAGGAGAAGTATTATTCCTGTTTTCCAAAAAGCACACATTATTGATAGCATTGGAACTTTGAACAACTACATAGTATTTACCTATGCTTTTTACTGTTCTAATACTAATAATGGCCATAACACACCCGCTACGAGACCAATAAAGAAACAGTTACAGTTTTACAGAATGAGGAAATGTATCAATTCAGTCAGTTCTCACCACTAACTTTGCAAAGAAGTGGGTTCTATTTCATTTGCTGAACACTTTGGGGGTTTTGCCTTATAAGAAGATGAACACAGCAGCACAAGTGCACACACTTTTACCTCCTCAGCAGCAGACAGCATTTTCAAGCCTTGTCTTTCACATTACCGCATGCAAACATGTTGTAAGTCAAGAGCAACGGTTAAAAATCTGATATTCTTACCTATACAAAGCATCATCAATTTCCATAGAGTCTGCTGCCATGATTGATATGATTTGTTTACACTAGAAGGGTTACAAAAAGAAATAATCTAGTTACATTGGATGCAATGTCACGGTTGGCCCCCTCTCTCTGCTCCACTCAGTTCTTCAACACAAGGAATGAAAAACACAAAAACTGATATTACACAGGAATCACTTTGAACAGAGAAGCCTATAGAACACCACAACATCTAGGTAATTAAAATGCACAGGAGCCAGAAGACAAGAATCCTCAAACCTTCCATAAGTGATTTCAAAATACATATTTAATTTCCCCACTAAAGAGATGCAAGACTTAGTTCTTGTATTTGCCACAGTCATATTTACTAAAAGTACAATTTCATTTTATATTAACAGCTCCAAGCTGTTTAACTTCCATCTACCTGACTGGTGCTTTGTTTTGAAGAGAAGACAGGAGATCCCTGAATGACTACGAATAGCTTTTTATGCTGCATTATTTCTATGTTTGCTGAAAATTCTTAAGAAACAAGTTACTGTTTAAGCTAACTGAAGAACTCAATACCCAAAGATCTGAATGAATGCAACATTTAACTAAGATTTCAAGTTAAACAGTTCCCTAGGATTTTAAGAAAAAAAAAATCTGCTATTAAGGCCTTCAGTCATTACCAAAGACCTTCCTATTGTTAAGTGACCCTTGTTATAACTAAGCACTAAGACTAGGTTAACTGCCCAAAGATTAACTCAAATTTATTGTTCATCTGGTTTTGGCAAACATTTTAAGGTTTCTGAAGTGTGGCACCTGCAGCCTACCACAACTCACAGACTATAACATTCTAACCTGAAATCTGTCCTTTTGATTTTTTAGGCTTAACTAGAAAGCACACAAGTACCACAGCAAGGGACAGAGTCACACTGAAAGCAGGCCACAAATAGCACCAGTTAATCTCTTTTACAGTGTGGATACTAACTCCTACACATAAGCTAGCATACAAGACAGTCAAATTGAGGCACCTCCATCACAATCTACACCACCTTCAGTGCAGTCCCCGTGCCCTTACACAACAGGGGCTGAAGACAAACAATGGCAATGTTACCAGATCATCTGAGGACCCAAACCTTAAGACAGAGAGCAATACATCTCATCTGAGAGTCATGGGCTTCTGGCCCTGCTTAGGTAAAAGCCTTCATTTCAGCCACAGACTGGGATACAAGACTTTTAAGTTCCCCTCAAATCAAGCCAACACCATCTCCTAACACCCAAGAGCAACCATGTCCATACTGCTCTGCTCCATAATCTTCCTCCACAAACAGCAGAGGCACTCTGGGCCTGCCCAACATAAACAGATTGTGGTACTAAGGTGAGGAAGGTGATCCACCTGGATAAAAACACCCAGCCTGCTCTGCTGTGGCTACTGACAGCCATCTCAATCGGTGTGCGTCCCAAACAACCTTCTGTAACCAACAGGATGTCCAGTCAACCCACAAGAGAACCTTCTTCACCTGTATCACACAGACCTGTGTGACAGTGGTTCTTCCAATATATTTATCAATTCTCAGTTGTCATCCTGTATGCTCTGTTACAGCACTGAGCTGCTGCAGGTATACCCATCAGCTATGGCAAAACGTATCCTTCCAAAAGAGGACTTAGTGGTATTATTATCAAGTAGTTCTAAGACAAAGTTTTGTTACTATATTCCTACATCAAATTTTATTTCTCATTTTAGTTTAACCTACCGAGTCTGTCTCACAGGCAGGTAATATGGGGAGAGAAGGAGAGGAAAGTGATTATGTCTTAGTTCTAATCAGGTAGTTGACATTTACGCATTTGCCTGTTTCCTTTCTAAAAGCCAACGCTATCAGTTTTACTGCCAGGCTCCTATTTAACTGCGTAAGTAATGCCCTTCATTTTTTAAGCCTCAGCTGCCTGTGGGACACAGCCCAGGGACAAACTGCGAGGCTGCATGTTACCAAAAGGACTGAGATGCTCTGAAGAGCAGCAAAGGCACAGGAGCTATAGTGGTGGGCTGGTTTCAATGTTTCTTACCTCCAAGTCAGCGCAGGCTGAAGCAGTATTAATTAGTCGCTGTTCAGCAGGCTGGGATAGCAGGGAGGCCTGGATTCATCCCACCTATCCAGCGTTTCCAGAGGCGGATCCCAGCCGATGCAGTTCCCTGTTCAGTCGGCGGAGAGAGAGATGACGCTCAGACTCAGTGTTATCTGCCCAGCTGGGCTAATGGGCGAAAAGCACCTCGGATCTACAGCGGAAACCGAGACGGAGCCGCCCGGCCCCCAAACGAACCCGACCCGGGTGCCAGCATTGCCCGACCGGCAGCAGCCCCCAACCCCGGCGCCCTCGGGTCGTCCCCGAGGCGCTGCGCACCGACACCCGGCAGGCTGCAGGCCCCCCTGCTCCGGCTCCGCCGCCGCCCGCCCTCACCACCCTGGCGTTGCGATCGAGGCCTGAGCGCGGCCGGCACCACGGGGGAAGAGGCAGGAAGGGGGTAGGAAGCGGCAGCGCCGGTGCCGCGGCGCTTCCCCGCCTGCGCCGACATGAGGGGCCGGGCTAGGGCCGGCCGGCGCGGCCCGCCTCCTCCTGCTTGACGGCGGCGGCCCGAGCTTGGCTTGAGATGGCGGCGGGTAGCGTGTGTTGCTGTGGTACCCGGGGGGAGGCGCGTAAGTCATTAGACTAAAAATATTTTCTGCCCAAGAAGTAACACAGCCCGTTGTTTAAAGCAAACAAACAAGCCCCCGTTAGGTTGAAGCGTTACCATTTCAGACGATCGGGAGCACTGCTGAGCCCTGCTCCTTAGGTCTCTGCATCTTGCAGGCCAGTGCCAGCAACTTAGTGCCTACCTCAAAAACAGGCAAAATGTCATTAAAAAGGTCTAGGGAGCGAAGTTATGAAATGCTGCAGAGTATCCAAGGCTGTAGAGGAGCAGAGATCTGGGGAATAGGTGTCAAAACCAATGTGTGGCCCTTGCCAGCATGGTATATGTTGTGGAAGCATTTTCCCTTTATTTATGGTGTCCTTTAACCAGGAGGAAGCAAGCTGCAGCAACCACCACTCTGCCTCACCACCAGCTCAACATCACCTCCTATAAATAGTTTCCCGTTCCCCAGGCTCTCATCAAGATCCCAGCACTGCCCACCTTACCCCATCAAGCAGTTCAGTCTCCCTTTCCTCAACTTTAACCCTGCTTTCCCTTTCACCATTCCTAGTCGTTAGGGTAGGTGAGAACCTGTCTTGATACCGTTAGCCCCTCTTATAGCTAGAATGGGAGGGGTTCATACTGCTGCACAAGCAACGACTGAAAAATGTCAGTGCACGCAGTTGTATACGTAACAGTCACATTATATTTGAAAACATTTGTAACTTAAACAACTACCTGCATCCTACAGTACATGGGAGAGGGGGGAAAAAAAAAGGAAAGCCTTTTCTGTCTTGCTTGGGGTTTGGGAAACTTGTAGAGGCAAGAGAGCACATGTTTTATGCTCTTTCTGAGAATGCAATGCATTATTTTAGCACGCATTTCTAACAAACCAGTCTTAGCAACTCTCCACATCTTCCTCAAGGCTTACACCTCGGTCCAAGAACACACGAAACTCTTGTGCTGAAATAGTAAAAAACTACTTAAGAGCAGACGGACAACACTGTGCTCTTTCAAACGTGGGCTTTGCTTTGGCAGGATTAGGGTGAAAGAGCTTGACTTTTACCCGGCTTTTTTTGTGTCACACAGGAGTAACAAGAGAAGATGTGGGCAAATTTCAAAGAACCACTAGAGGCCAGTAAAGTCTGAAATACTGGATTGAAAGAGAGGATAAACAGAGAAAGCGGTTCGGCTCTTCAGGATGGCAAACGCAGCCCTAACCAGTAAAGGAATATTTAAGGCTGGTATTTGCTCTGTAACTTTCTCACATAATCAATAAAATTACTTCCATTATTTCAACAAAGTAATTTCAAAAAGCAATGCGTGTACCCAAGGAACAAAATTAACAAGAGTCTCAGCTGTAAAGGATGGGGGGAAGTGAAATAGTTTGTCAGCTTCATTTTGCTACTTTGCTAATTAAGTTCTATCAGCTATTTTTACATTTAATTTTGTGGTATCTTGCCTTAAAAATGAACCTCTTTTTATTATTTTTCAGGTTAAACTAACAGTTCTTAAGAGCTTCTCAATCAAATATGTTGTGAAAATAAAAAAAAAAAAAGTCTGCTACCTACCATCTCTCTGTCCTGATCATTGCATTTTTTAAGATACCATTCACTTTGATATGCAGTCATCTCACATGAAGCAGGTTTTGCATAGTAATAATGAATGCTGACAAGCCTTCTGCCTACATGGAGAAACAACAACATCTAGTTAATTCTCACCTAACAGTTCAGTGGTAATTAAGCAAAGACCATCAATGAAACTGTGAACATGGGCATTTTAAGATAAATTGCCAAATAAAAATGAACAGATTCTCTTTACCCCAGAAGCCAAAGCAAGTGGTTCCCAAATACACCAATTAGCAGGTGTACTCAGGAGCCCTCTAGATCGATGGCACCAAACCAAAAATATACAGGTTTTTCTCTTATTTTGCAAGACTGCAAAATCTGAAATAGTAAAGCCATTTAACTTTTCTCTTCCCCTTAGCCTTCTCTTTGAAAAATACATATAACTGTAAAATCTTAGCAAATTTGGTTAAATAAATAAATTTTAAGGGAAATCTCAAATCCATATTTGTACCTCATTAGATTGGCAAAACGTATGGAGCAGTGCTTCAAAGTCAGTTTATTGGCTTCCTGAAGCAATGAGCGGTACCTGGCTATGGTCAGAACACCACTACCTCTGGACTCAAGCCTATTTGTGCCCAAAATCTCAGTATCTTCAGTTTATGTGCACTGCTGTAGATTTCTTCCGCGTACAGGTATTACAGACATCTTTAGGTCCAGTATTTCCAATGTATATTTTGGTATATATGATATATATACCAAAATAAATATATATGTATATACATACATATATATATGATATATATATGATGCTGATATAGCGGTAAATCTCATTTCCATCTGAAGGGGAAAATCCCAGCCACTTGCAATTCGTTTGTTTGGTTGTTGGTTTTTGTTAAAGTAAGTCTTTTAATTTCCTGATTTCCAGACATAATTTCACATTCTTAATGGGGACGTCAAAGTGGAGATCTGGGGGGCGTCTGCGTCCATGATCCATTTGGTTAATAAGTAAATTAGCAGACAAAAATGTCTGTCATTTTCTCCCTAAAAATGTGTTATTTGGAAGTACTAAGGCAAACACAATTCCGTTTAGCACACAGGCCAGTGCAGAGTTGACCATAAATCCACATCAGTATCATTCAGTGGGTTTCCCAACATCTTGCCATAGGCTGTGGTTTGCCATCAGCTCTCAGAGGATTGAAGGTCTGACTTTGTTACCTTCTTTTTTACCTCTTTTTGGCACAACATTGTGTAGGAGTGCTTTGCTGTCATGTCTAAAAGGACTCCAGCTTCCCAATGGGGTGGGCCAAAGGATCTTGTCACTTAAGGCTGCTCTAGCAAGTGACACCTTCCTAGAAACCATGTTAACAATGTTGCTAAAATCCTGATCCAGATGAACAAGGGCACCAATTACCTAAGCTGATTCTGTGCTGACATGTGCGTGAATGAATTTCCAAAAGCAAGAGCAAGCTTTTCCATGTGTGTGCACCTGTAATGCAGGCTGCTACGTGCTAGATAAATATTCATTGCTTTTGGCAATTGGTTGTAAGAGCTTGTGGCTCTTAGCACTTCTAATTTGTTAACAAGAACAGCAGATATGGGATTGGAGTTTCCACAAGCTTTACTTACATAAGGAATCCTGGTGACGGATTGATGCCACTCAACCAGACCTCCTCACAATTAGTCTCTTATTTCTTTCCTACTTGTGCTCCAGGCTGAAAATTAGCATGGGTAGTCTTCAAACAACCAATTTGAATAACCAGAAATTTGGAATACATTTCTTGATGCTTTAAATCTGCTTGGGAAATCTCAGGAGAATTGGTATATCGGCTGCATAGACCTCCCTACAGCCAATTTCCAGGAATGCCTCTTTACAAGGATAAATTTTTCAAGGCTAGAAGTAAGGTGGTGGGTTCTTGAATGAAGCTTCAGATCCATTCTCAAATTTGGATAGCACTAGCTTAACTGAAGTTAAATTTTACAAGAGCACAAGTACCACCTTTTCTTTGCTGAAACATCTGTAAAGCTCCAACCACTGTTAAAGACAAACAGTTCCTAGGATGGGGAATGAACAGAGAGAGCTGCAGATTTAGAATAGTCTTATATCAAAATAAGGAAGATTAGTCCATTTTGCATCATATACAACTTTTAGCTCCATTATTATTAAGCAAAAAAAGGACAAAAAAGGAGGAATTGTTTTTAAATACATTTAATGCTATGAAACATAATAACCTTTAATCATTTAAATCCTTGCTAAATCTTAACATCAATGATAATAAAATGTTTTTATAAATGTTTTCTTTAACCACACAATATTCTGTTTGTTTTATTCTAGGGCAGAAAACAGAGTCTTCATAAATAAAACACTGACATGGAGTGTAAGACAAACCCAGGCCAGACAGTGTGCTAAAAAATCTGTGAAAAGTGCATCTGGCTGGCTCAGGACTCCCTGAGTAAGGTAGACATTCTCCTAAGCACCTCTTGGCTGTTTGGCCTCTCATGAAAAAACATGAAATAAAGGCTGCCTTTCTCATTTTAAAGGTATTCTATATACACATTTCACTTGCAGTGTGAGGTAGGAACCAGTTTATAGGGGTTGTATCTAATCTGGGCCTCACATCCTTGCTGTTGCCCCTCCATTCGCTAGGCAAAAAGATAGATTTAAGTGCAAAACAAAGCCTTAGCTGTCTATGAAAGTGAAACTTTAGATTGCAATTCATCAGCTGATTGTAAGGAAGGACAGTTGTCATGATTTTCACCTTCAAAGCAATAAGAGGCACAAAAAAACTAGACGTACTTTTTTTCTCCAAAGGATGCTTTCGTAAAAAAGAGGACCTAGGCACTAGAAGAAAAGTGTTTCCAAGTGACCTAATCCAAAACCCTGTGAGGTTTCTATTTTTAACTGAACCTGGCCCAGAGTAAATTCTTAATTGAAAAATAGCAGCAACTCAAAAGTGCATAAATTACAAACTTCATTAATAAATTAAGGAAACAGATTTGCTGCATGTAACTATCCTCCTGACTGTCCCAAGATCCTTTTAATTTTGCAATGGACACTGAAAATGAGAATAAAGATACTACTATTTCAAAATCAAAACCTTCAATTTTTTTTTTTTCTGAGATAAGGCATCTTGTCTTTTACAGAAATTCAAAAGGTACGTAGACAGGAAGGAGCCTAATAACAAGACAGCCCCCTCCTCCACCACCAAGGTTTAATCAATGTCTTTTCCATCCATACATAGACTTGTAATTCAGAAGAAATGCTGAGCATCTCATTCCCAGGGGTGCTGATCGTTGGAGAACTTGCACAGTAGGAAGGCTGAGGACAGACCCAGTCCTGAGTAGAAGGGGAGGCAGGATGCTTCAGAGCAATTTTCAACTGTAGCAGGTTCAGCTGTGGGGCTTGCAGCTTTTTTCATGTCTACTACAGACTCTTGTGAGTCCTGCGTTCACAGCCTAAACATTCTGATTGGCATTCAAAGACTGCAGGAGATAGTACTGGAGTGACATTTTGGATCCTCATATTGAAAGCCTGGGCTTTAGGGGACAATAATAGTCATGCCACTGGAACCCCCTCCACCAGCAATCCATGTCATGAACAGAGGTAGGAAAAGTGCTTAATTGGTATATAAGGATCACGTTTACTCTGAAGTTCTTATTGGGACTGTTATTTAATATAAAATTACTCTTCAGCCTCATAAGACACAATCATATTAATTCATGAAGAAATGAATCCATCAGTGAAGCACGACAGTGTCACTAACTGCTTTCGTTGCAGTGAGATGGTTTCCGCTGGCTGGCATGCCGTGAAAAAGCACGCTATTTCTTGAATGAAAAAAGTTGTTTCCACTTCACTGGTGGTAAATACTTATTTTTCCTTTAGCACAAATTTAAATGCTGGGTTTTCTTCCAGGGAGGTTGTTCATGAGGACACACTCGTTACAAAGAAATCTGGGTGGAGCTTGTCTTTCTGTATCTTAAGCATACTGTGAGTTGAACAGAGTAGATCTATAAGCCATCTGGTATAGAGGTAGCAGTACAGCATTGTGATAAAGCACTTCCACAACAGCACTTTCAAGTACTTTGAACCTCACAGAATCCAGAAAAAAATTCCCATTAAAAGTGTGCTTCAAAAGAAGAACACCAAGCTTTACTCTTATCACTTCCAACTTACTGCAGGCACAGAAATCCTCCTTTTCCTTAGCTAGGACCTACCCTCGATCCTGACTGATCCACCATTAGTGATCAAGAACATCGAGCAGGGTGAACATGCAGGGTCTTGGCTGCAGTCTGTGCAGATGATAATCTCTAACAATATTAATAATCAGGGATTCACTTTTTCTAGAAACACAGCTGTGCCAGAATCTGCTTCACTGGAGGAAGAAGGTTGAGCTTCAGACCTTGGCCATGGCTGGATTAAAAATTCTCTTTTTTTTTCCTGGAAAATGCTTGTATTTATAACACAGGTAAAACTAGTAGCTTTTAAATGTTATTTTAATGACATCAGGTTGTAATTTCTGATAGGTGAGAATATTTTAAGGCTCAAAGATGAGGCATGCTATCTGATATGTTCAGTATAAATTCACAAGGGGTTAGGATCTCTGACAGCAAAGATAGTGCTTGCTGTGAGTGAAGTTTGCTTTAACCAAAACTACATAGGAATATATATACCGAAAAAATAACCTTTTAGAATTACAGACAAATATGAGTTACATGTAGTCCATGTAGTTAAATCCATTTTTGATTTTGGAATTAGATGCCAGTTTTCAAGGTAATCCACTCACGGAAATAAGTCACTCGTGTGTAAACTCCAGGTTTATTTGGTTTGGCACATTCGTCTCCCCAGCTCACTATTCCCACGAGGTACCACATCAGCCTAGAGTCTGGAGTAACCAGTGGTCCCCCAGAGTCACCCTAAAGAAAGAGGAGGGGAGAAAAGATATATAATTGATCAGAAGGAAAAATACAATTCCCTCCATGCACGGGAGGGTGTGCCCAAGAAGAGAAGAAAGCAAGAAAACAAGCAGTATTTCAAGAGCTGCCATTCCTGCAGAATGCAGGTTGTTCTTGAAACTTGAGTCAGAAGTCAGTGGTTTTTTCCTGTTTGCCATGGAACCTCCTGACTTGCCTCCATAGTTTTACAGTAAAAAGGAAAAAAGCTTCTCTTCTGTTTTGTGAAACACCGCTTCCCACCTGCCTTGACTTCCTCCTCAGACAAAGGAGGGAAGCACAAATATGCACAACAATCTAAGTAAAGAGGAACTTCCCCCCCCCAATAACCACTATTCTTACAACAAATAGTCACTTGCAATAATAACATTTCAAAACAGATTTCATCAAGAACTTGGTCTTCTAATTAGACAATATCTCCTGAAGATAATAGCTACTTTCAAAGGGTCAATTCAGATACTGTTAATAGCATGACATGGTAATAATATTTAAACTGGAAACCTTACAAACTGAAAGGCAATCCTCACCCAACAGACCAAATTCCCCATCTTCCAGCAAAATGCACCCTTCTGTGCAGGTCTCCTAAATGCTGCGCCAGCCAGGAGCAGGAGAACTGAGCCTCCTGGACTTATTCTTCAAGGGGTTTTACTTTGGACACAAATCTGTAGGACTGTGATTCTGGAAAGAGTCTGTTTTGAACCAGCACTTGGCAGTACATTCTTTGTAAATAACATAAATAGAAATCATGGTTTTTAAAAGTTTCCATTATGAAAATACTTTTGTTCAAACAAACATTTACTTGCAGCATTTGTAGACCTGCACCACACATGTATCTCTACCATTCTATTTACACGTAGCTTCCTTACAGTTATCTTTGTTTCAGACAGTTTTCCTTCCTCTGATCCAAGTCTGTTACCAAAGACCATATAACACATCTGCATCGGGATGATCCAGTCCAGAATTTAATTTCAACGAGCGATAGTGCATTCTTGCTGGCTACTTAACTGCTACATTCTTAAGCTTCTTCCTTCCTAACTGCATAGGTGTTTGTCTTAATTACTTGAGACATTTAATTTTTAGCTTATATTTACTATTTCAGCATTTAGCATCTCTGTCAATTTCTTGCCATATCCCTTTGCAACCGTATTGTTTGTTTTCACACACAAGAAATCAGGAGAAGCAAATGGGCTGGTAGCAGCTTTTTTGAGTTACAGAATAAGATTTAATTTCATGCTATGAAAGGTTTAAATGGTGAATATTATCATAATTTAGCTCTCTTTGTATAGGTTTTATGTGCTAAATCATGTGCAATAAATGCTATTTCATTTTACAACTTAATTCCTGTTTGAATGGAGCTTACATAAAGGACTAATTCATTGTCAGTTAAGATTTGGTCAACCAGATACCAAAATTAGTATTAAAATAGTTTTCCTTTCTAATTTTCAGCTACAGTTACCTGACAAGCATCTACCCCTCCTTCCAAGTATCCAGCACACAGCATCCTAGGTGTTATGTCCCCATCGTACACTTCTTTTCTGTTGCAAGTCTTTGGGTCAATAAGTTTCACTGTTGCTTCCTGAAGAGCATTTGGAGCTGGACCTAAGGAATAATACAGTTTGGATATTTGTTAACAGAATTATCTTGCAGTAGTTGAGATAGATACAGGAAGAGCATTTAATGTTCTCTTATGGATGATCAGCTTGACTTGGTATGATGTAGAGGTTTTGCTTGTTGATCTGTCTAGGTTAGGCCCTTAAGGAAAATGTACATACTCATAGTCTTAAAAACTGTACCATTAAGACAGAAGTAACAATTGCATGGCACATAGTGCCTTATTCCATATAATACTATGGAACACAAATTACCTAGCAATTTGAGCAGATGATACAAAATGAAGATATCTTTGGTTCCATTGCTAAATCTTAGCATGGCCTGGTAAGTGTCTGAGCTTGCGTCAGTCACTGCAGCTCACTCTGCTGATTTACCTGAAAGCTCAGAGTTATCTGTAGCTTCTGGCTAGGGCTGGGAGAATATTTTTTTTTAGGTGCTATATAAACACATGCATTGCTAGATTACATGTCTTAAGAATTTACAATGTGAAATGGAAAGGCTGGAAAAAGAGAGTTTTCTGCTTGAGTGGACAGTAGCTCTTTGTCCAGTGTAATTTTATAACAAGAATCTGCTGCTTACAACTAAACAAGCCTATTGCTTAAAGCATTAGGCTTATTGCCATACAACATATACCTGCAGAAGAGGTATCAATTCAGTAGCACAACAGAGCTACTGTTTATGCAACATACAGGTTGCCTGGCAGACTCACCGTCATTGGTAAGTGCTCCCCAGCCTGTGATGACAGCGTAAGTATTGTACAGAAAAGTCTGAGATGGCTCAGGTAGACAGACACGGTGTACGCTACTTGTAAACTCAACTCGTTTCGAGAGCTGCACAAGTGCAATGTCATAATCATGTTCTGGGTACTGGTACATTTCATGAATTATAATAGTCTTGATTGAGCGTTTCATGCTTGGTGGCTTCAAAAGAGCTCCAAAAGTAGCAGTCCACTCTTGAGGGTGACCCATGCTGAAAAAGGTAAGAGTGTTGTTATTTAGCTGTAAATAAAGTTGTCCAGGACTTTAAACTTAACACCTTTACTGTAAAGTTCCTTTAAGCCTTGTCCCTAGTAGATTCTTAAGGCTTTCATCACTTTACATCAGTGTCTCACATGATGTTGTGCTGCTGCTAGAAGAGGGCAATCTGCATTCCCTCCTCAGCCATGGTCTCATACTCCTCCCTTGCTCCTTGTCCCTGATCCAGCCATTGTGTGGCTGCAGAGTGTAATCAAATCAAAAAGCTCTTCTGCCAGAAAACTCTTCATCTCCATTGCATCTTTTGAATGTTAATAATCCGTTCCATGTTACATGCCCTGCAGCTTCACAACTGCCATGCTTGAAACAAAAAGGAGTTGGGAGTGCATGGCTGAATAGAGGGGTAGGAATGTGAGATTATAACTTGTAGTAGCAGCCTGCAGTGGCAGCCACCTAACTTCAACATGAAGGAGTGCCACATTCAGTGCAACAGGAAATAAATACTCTGCCATTTCAGTCACATTACTGTCTCTGCACTTTTTTGCTCAATATGCCAAATGACTACTGATTTCCACTCACAATTGTGAGTTCTGCCTAGTCTTTAATTTCTCATTGAAATAGTCAAGTGATGTGTCTGCTTAACCCTGACTTTTCTCCTCTAAGGCAAAAAATTATTTCCCTGGAAAAGAGTTAGGGAAGTAGTGCAAATCTGGAAAGCCACATAACTTGATAGGCATAGAATGGGGCGCATTCTGCTGCAGATTCTCTCTAAGATGGGAACTTACTCTCTGAAGCAGTGAGCTGCAGATACAAGCCAGGTATTGCTGATGAGTGTTGCACCACAGCGATGGATATTATTGTACTGCAAGCTAGCTTGCCACGGCCAGTCCCCAGTCTCTGCAGAAGACAGTCCACCGACTATTCGCAGTGATGATGATTTTGCCATTGACTTGACTGACCTATTCTGTCGTAACCCGCAGACTGTCAAAAGGAGAAAGAGTGTATCAGCTATTCTTCTGTTGAGTAATATGCCTGCCAACGGCTGTGAAAAAAAAGGTAGAGTAACACATCACTTCGGTTCTCTAACACTATTAACATCAACAAGAAAACATACCTTTCACCAGTCCCCCAAATCAGAGATCCTCATGCACAACCCATTCTGTTAGAAGCCTGAATGAACATCTGACTTGTAGAGAGCCATGATGGTCAAGCATTCAGGCTTAACTACATAAGCAGCCCAAATCAGAAATCAAAACCATCACCACACACCCAGGACAATTCCCAAACACAGGGGATTTGTCATTAATGTCCCAGGTAATTTGTCATTAATGTCCCAGGTAATTTGTCATTAGGATAAAACATGAACAGGGCAAAATCTAAGACAGGAATGATCCAAGCCATGGGTTTTTGCCACACATGCATGCAGATTACGTCAGCAAGATGTCACCTGGAAACAAGCAACTGTGCATTGCACAAATGGCAGTCTGCAAGCAGACCTGGAAAGGCACTTCAGGCAAAGAGCATGACATTAATCCAAGCCAGAGAAGACAAAGGCATGGATACTTCCAGCACAGTGTGCATCCATGTCAAAAAGCATTATCCTCCAAACCCAGACAGAAATTAAAATATGCATGGTTTCAGCCGCTAAACTCAGGATATTCAGAAGCAGCTGAAGCTCCCCCATAGCTTTGAGAAAATTCCTCAATGGATAGAGCTCCTTCAGCTGTCTTCTCCCATCAAAACAGCATCAAATCCCTCTTACCTGGACCAAGACCCACTAGTTTTCATCCAGGCCCCAATTTCAGCTAGACATTAACAAAGTTGACAGAGAGGACCAATTCATTAAAAAAGAGACAGGGCTAAGAATTATTTGCATAGTGACAACACAATCCAAACCATTGCACTGCCTGTTTCCTGCAGACAGTGACCCAGAGTGGGACAAAGCAGAAATCAGTAGTACACCTCTGAAGAGCTGTCAGCCCCAGGGCCCTTAAACTCCTCAGAAGTGAAACACTGGAGCCACACACAGCCCCTTCCTGCTAGGATCTGCGCAAGGTTATGTTAACAGTACCTCATAGTCAAATGAAGCAGCAATAACACAGCAGATTGAAAACTGTTCATAGATTTTGGAGAAAAAAAAAAAAAGTCATGTAACATGGAGAAGTTCATGTGCTCAGTGTAGAGTCTGCCCTGTTCTGAGACATAAAACCACAGTGAAGGAAATCGGTGAAATTTGTATCTACTTGTGCAAAACTTACATGTGAAAGGAAAACTGAAGAATATATCATAACTCGCAAGACTGTCTTAACTAGCATGTTTCCCTGCAGAAAGCTATTTTTAATCCTCAATCACTGGTCCTAAAACTGCATAATCCTGATAACCATCTGAACAGTCAATGTTCAAAACACGGGGAAAAACTCACAGTTTCACCAGTATCCCAGAACACCAGCACGTAAAACCAGCACCAAGTGATGTTATTTAATCTTCCATTACTTGACAGCCTGCTGCCAAGGAAATAATCAAACCTCTCAGAGTCAAAAGAAACCCAATTTGTAAACAAAGATGGCTTTTTATAACAACTGTATCTTCAAACAAGCGAACTTCCTTCTCTGAAAGCCTGAAAATATCTCTAAACCAAACTACCTCAATCTAACCGCTACAGCATTACCTTGAGACCAGTCATATTGCCTTTTATGTCTGTATGGAACAATTTTGTGCTACTAGCCATTTCAAAATCCAAAACATTTTCATTATAATCACTTTCTAATGTAACTTCTTTACATTTCCTTAAGTAAATGACATATTCCCAATTTCTGAGAGCTCAGAGAAGGACATTACTCAAAAATCTCCTGCCTGAGCCCAATCTTACCACTTTTGGGGCACTTCTCACTTGCAGGCTGCATTAGAGGTCTGCTGCTATCCTTAAAGTATCAATTGAACAACATGCTGGTGCATGTGCAGGTGTAAATCTCATCACTTAATTTATGTATAGGAAAATAACAGGTAGTAAGGCGGACACAAATGGTTATGCTACAGTATCCAAGACAAGCGTATATGAAATAGATTCTTCAGTCTCTGCTCCAAGATGCAGTTCTAATATTTTACGTAAGGGAGACAGAAGACAAGCCTGTGTAGGCAGGATTAGACTTGATGAAGTGTTCTATTTAAGCACATGCTTTAATCAGCTTATAATAGAGATTGCTTCTCACTGCAATCTGCTCAAATATAAAATGCACTCAAATCTGTGATAAGGACTCTCCTGCCTTTAGCGCATTATAGTACACCCTTTAGCTATCTGTTGTGCATGACATTAAGCAGTCATCTAGCCCAAGCAATTAAATTCCTTTATTTGTTGCAAGTTCTCCTTGCTTACTCAGTTTTATTACATATACCTAGGAGTCATCTGCAGTGCCTTAGCTTTCATGCAGAAACATGGCTTTGTATTCATGTCCAAATACACAGTTAATCAGACACAGCGTAAAAGCTTTCACTGGTTCCAACAGCAACAGGATCAGGCTAGTAAATAAACAAATGTCCTGAACATTACAGTGCTCAGCCCTCACTGGCTAAGTTAGTTCTTTCCTAGATGACTGGGTTTACATTTAAGATGCGCCCTCCGCCTAACATACCAGCACTGCTGGAGACAGAAGCGTGCCATAGTCACCAGCAGGACCCGCATGCCTCCTCTCTGCCCAACACTGGGGATTTCTATAGAGCCCTCAGCACTTGCTCTTTTCTCACAGAATTGCTGATATTTTTAGCAGAAGGAACATCTCACTACCAAAAGAATGACCAGGGAACTGAGCAGTGGGTGAAGACTTTTTACCCCATCACCAGTTTTCAAGCCAGTCATCCTAGGCATCCCAGAAAACACTAAAAGAAAAAGGCCTCCTCGTGACTGAGCAGTATTCCTAAACACATGGCTTATCCGTGTGAAGTACAAGGTCGCATTCCTTAGACAGAAGGATAAGAAAAGGCTTTTCAGGGCCATGAAAAGTGCTCAGAAACTATTAATGCTAATTAAAACAATCAGAGATTTCCCAGGCTTAAAAAGCCCTCACTTACTGTCATTGAAGAGGGCTTCTGCTCTTTTTGTCTCCATATCTGAAACAAACAAACAATCAGGGTAAGGCCAGGACAGCACAGACAAGGTTTCCCATCTGCATGGTCATCCCCCCAACAGCTAGCTATGTGAGTGCAGGGCAACACAGGGTGTGCAGCTGAGGGAGACTGCTAGAGAAACCAGTGTAGCTCTCAAGTGGTCACATTCTTGCACTGGCTGTTGCACTCCTCTCTGCAGTGCTGTTTGCTGTTCTCCAGCCAGCCAACATCCTCTGAGGAACAGGCACAGGGTCTCCCCCCGTCCTGCTCGGCCCTGATGTTCCTGGAGGGTAGTACAGACAAAACAAGTCCTGTTTTACTCAAGATCTACAATTTTGCTGGGGGGAAGTTTTTACAGTGGAAAGTTTTGAAGTTCCTCTTTTGTAGAAAATCAGTTGGCCATATGTCATATCAGAGTGAGGGCAGAAGGAATCAGGTACTCACTTTGTGCCCTCTTCCAGATCAGAAAGCACTGATTTTACTGTGGCAATGCCAGTTTACAATAGCTCACTCTCCTTTCTCCTAGCTTATTGAGCAGCAGCGTGTCTGGTGCACTGTTAATACTAAAATAAATAGTTAATAGCATAGCACAGC